GCATAGCATAGCATATCATAGCGCAGCACAGCATTCACTATTACTACTACTACTACTACTACTGCTGCTGCTGCTGCTACTACTACTACTACTACTACTACTACTACTACTACTACTACTACTACTACTACTTCTACTACTATTACTACTACTACTACTACTACTACTACTACTACTACTACTACTACTACTACTACTACTACTACTACTACTACTACTACTACTACTACTACTACTACTACTACTACTACTACTACTACTACTACTACTACTACTACTACTACTACTACTACTACTACTACTACTACTACTACTACTACTACCGCTGCTGCTACAACTACGACGATGAGGAGAAGGAGGATGACGGCGTTTACCGCTCCTACTAATGTTGCTTTTCTAGAGGCTCCAACTCCTAGCCAGGGTCGCACTGGGATATTTTTTTGGCACTGGTAGTCGCGGTCTGGTTTTGGTGCCAGGGATCGGTCACCCATCATTCGGGGCGCGAGTGCAATTTGTCGTGGCCATCAATGAGCTGTACGTGCCAGGCGGGCACAAGACACCACAGGAAGGTTCGGCTTACAGGAGAACCATTGGGCCAGCTACTCCCTGGTGTCCAGTCTTCCCCATAACGAGGGAATCCTCGATTGGCCCTCCGCACAGGCTCGGCGCAACATATCGAAAGGACTTAGGGGGGGAGTGCCTAGCTTCGCTGCTTGTCTGAGGCAACCTGTTGCCGAGAGGGCATCGACATTGTCAGGGTGACAACACGGCCATACGTGGTGCGATAATGCATCCGCTTGCATGCTTGCATCGATTTCAATCGGATTTTTTTAAATGTGGTCGCGGACTCATCGCATCAGTGATGACTCTTCGAGCCAGTGTGCAGGCCTGCACTGACCGCTCTATCCAGCAGCCTGCGGCTAACCCCGCCACCGCAGGCGCAGCAGCGCAGTAGGAAGGAGGTTATGGCCCGCTCCAGTTCTGTGCCCTCTTTGATCTGTCGCGGGTCGTGAGCACCCCCTCTTGGTCTCCAGTCTCGTTTTCCTTTTTCATTCCTTCGCCCTCCCCCTTTTTCTGCTGCTCGTCCTCGTCGTCGTCCGCCTCATCCTCCTCCTTCCTTTCCATTTGTCATTTGTACACATACTCGGGGTATGTTGGGGGCTTCTTTGGAGCCTCTTCTATCTCCGTATGGTGGCCTTGTGAGGGCCCTTTGAGGGCCAGTCGGGGGACTCGCTGCCGTCTTGGGCACGATGGTTCCACATATCTCCCCCGAAGAGCTTGGCGAGTCTTGGGGCTGTCTTCGAGTGGTAGGGACGGGCTTCGGACGGCTGCATTCGTTAGTGCATCGTGAACAGTCATGTCGTCCATTTTGCCTGTCCCCCAGGGGTCTGCCGGGAGGCCTCTTGGGAGCTCGTTGGGGGCACGTTGGAGCCTCTTGGGGACTTCTTCGATGTTTCCTCGGGGCATCTTGGCATCTCATGGGGACAGTGCGTCATTCCAGGGCTGCTGGAAGGGTCTCGCGGGGTCCCGTGCGGCTATCCCAGGGCGCGTTCCATATTTGTCTTGGGTCGAACTTTGGCCCCCCCTGCGAATCTGACTCCACTCGTGAACTCGGATTTTGGCGGCTGTCTCGCAGCGGAGGTGAGCCACGAAGCGTGATCTTTTTTTGTGGTGTAAAAGAAACGAGCGTGCTCCTTTTACTCTTGGGGCTACAACGCGCGTTATGCCTCCCCCACCCCCGCCTCTCCCTCAAAACCTCGCGCTCCCCCCCCGGCCCCAGTGCGTTCCCGCGCACTGCCGCAGTGCGTCTGGTACAGTGGGGGCCCATGCCAAGAAACACCTTGCTTGCCTCCGGGGTACCCTGGGTTTCTTGGGTTTCGATGATTTTGCAACGGAACGCGTGACGTTCTCACACCAAAAATCGATGGGACGTCCTGGGGTCTCAGGGTTGGGTTTCTTGCGGAAGGTTTCTTGTGGACTGGCCTCCGCTGTGCTACAGTCTGTGTTGCCGGCTGGACCCGCACGGCTAGTGGGGGCGTTGCGTTGTGCGCCCCCCGCCCCCCTCCTTGGCATCGCTCGGACGTTCACATTTTCTCTCGACGAGAACCATCGGTGAGCGTCCTGGACCATCGAGCAAAGAAAAACACGCACGAAACCGGAAAATGCACGGGGAATGGACGTCCGAGCGACGGCAAGCCTCATGACGCCCGTGATCGCCACGGGCTAAGAAGTGTTTCCACGCGGGGCGTTCCAGACACAGCCTGGCCTTCGAGGATCGAGGGGGGTTGGCGTCTCTTCCGCCGCGGAAGGGCGGCGGAAGGGCGGCGGCCGATCGGCGGAAGATTGACGAGGCCGCCTCCGGCGGCGGAAGCTCGGCGGAAGTAAAATATGTGTCCACAAGAGATGAACACGTTTTTGGGTTCAGGGTTCCCCAAACCGCCCATGTAGTCAAGTGACCGTTCACCTTGTAGAGGCACGCGGACACACACGCAAACAACGTGCCCACGCAGTAACACGCCCTGTCTCATTTGAGCTCGTGTTTTTTTCCACACGTGCGGTGTAATCACAAGGGTAGTTCGGCCCGCTGCAAGATGGATCAGCCTCGCGACAGTGAGCGCTTTGGCTGCAGTGCATCCCATCGGCCAGGTTTGGGTATACGTTTGCTCTTCACTATCGCATTGTGTCTTCCTCCCAGTGCGCAATCATCTTGGATTCTCTGTCCAATGTCAGGCTGCACGTCTGCAAAACTGTTCCTACGTGTCACGAACCTCTTGTCTTTTGGACCCTGCACTTGTGCTGTTGCGGTGTTCTTCAAGCACAGTTGAGTTGTGTGACGAATATCCAGCTGCGCTGCCGCTCAAATCCGCCATCGCCGTCGGGCGGGCACTCAGGGGAGTCAAGGGGGTGAGGGCTGGGTGGGTGCTCCTGGGTGGGTGGGTGTTACGGAGGCTCTTAACCGATCTCTCGATTGTGGTACAATGTTCTGATTGGAAGGCAGAAGACGCTGCGACGTTGTAACAGCTGTGCGCTCGTTGGGCTCGATGCGTCAGGGGCTTCCTCTGCTGTGCCGCGAAAAGCCGATTCAATACAAAAGCACATATCTGGACACGCACCCACAGAAGCAGGCACGGGGGTGGGATTTAGATTTGCCACACCTTTTCAATAATCCGCTTGTGTCCCATACAGTTCCGGTTTGTTGTAGCAGCTTTGCAACGTGTGAAATTGCGTTATTTTTTGTGGGCGAGCGCTGGCAACTCGAACTAGCCATGCGGAGTTGCAGGCTAGCTGTTTTCAGAAGGGGTGGTGGTGTTGGATGTGCTGCTCTACCTGGCAGTGACCAGAAGGCAGTTGTCTTGGCGATTGTCGCTCGTTTCTGCTCGTGTGTCGTCCACGCCAGAGCATGTTTAAGTGGCAATCACGGCCCTCGTGTGTATCTGTGTGGATTGGAATCCTGGCGCAACTTGTGACCATCCCATCCACAATTTCATAATGCAGATAATGGGACCTTGTGCATCTTGTAAAGCGAGTTTTCTCAGTACCCTTGTTTGTGTTGCTCAGGCCGTTGTGGAACTGTCCAGCTAGCCTTCTTTCTGCTGCTGGTGTCGTTGTCGTTCACCATGGTGCTGCTTCTCCTCCTACTTCTTCCCAGACAGGACGCGTGGCCTGTGAGGATTATGAGCGCTGGGTCAGCATGGTGTCTTCTATGATATTTCACGTCTCGTGCCGCATGGTCTCATGGTGTGCTGCAGTCAAGGCCATGGAGAGCCGATAGTTCTATCCGAATGCCTGCGGTAAGTCCCGCCACCGTGCCAGCCTGTCATTCTGGGTGGCGACTGTTCGAGAGTGGGAGGGCCTTGATGAGGATCCGCGTTGGGATGCTGATTATGTTGCTGATGATGTTAATGATGACGGTGGTGATAAGGATGCAAGTGATGATGTGACTGATGCTACTGCTGATGATGATGGCGACGAAAATGATGATGGTGGTGATGATCATGGCTATGATGCTGATTCGGATGACGATGATGGTGAGTATGGTGATGATGCGGCTGATGATGATAATACTAACGATGTTGACGATGCTGATACTGATGCTCATGATGATGACGACGCTCATTGTGATGCTGAGGCTGATACTAATGACGCTTATGACGTTGATGCTGAGGATTATGATGGTCAGCGTGACGATGGTGATACTGATGAGGAGCATGATGGTGGTGCTGTTGATGCTGGCGATGACGACGATGGTGGTGGTGCTGATAATTTTGATGATGATGACGATGCTGATGATGATGCTGATGATGATGATGATGAGGCTGATGTTCATGCTGATGGTGATAGCGACGATGCTGATACTGATGCTGATAATGATTGTGATGATGATTATGATGCTGATGATGATGATTATGATGATGCTGATTATGATGATGATGCTGATGATGATGATGATGATTATGATGATGAGGCTGATGGTGATCGCGAGGATGCTGATATTGATCATGCTAATGATGGTGATGAAGACTATGATGATGAGCGTGCTCGTGATCATGATTCTGATGCTGCTGTTGCAGATGATGACGATGACGGTGACGACGATGATGATGATTATGATGATGCTGGCGATACTGATGATGATGATGATGATGATGATGATGATGATGATGATGATGATGATGATGCTGCTGCTGCTGCTGCTGCTGATGCTGATGATGATGATGATGATGATGATGATGATGATGATGATGATGATGATAATGATGATGTTGATGATGCCGACGATGGTGATGATGTGCTGATGTTGACGGTTGTGTGGTGATGACTACGATGACGATGTCTTGGAGCTGTCTTGGCCTCCTGTGAGGCAGTTTGGGGGGTCCCTTGGGGCTCTCGTGGGCCATTTTGGGGCCCTCGTGGCCGTATGATGGGTGTCTGAGGGCCGTCGTGGGGCCGTCGTGGGCCGTCGAAGGGCCTTCTAAGGCAGCTCTGAGTCCCACGGGAGGCCCCCTTGGGCCGTCTTCGACTTTTATGCTCACTGTCGCCCCGAGAGCGCGAACCTGCAGTATTTTACCAGGGGTTGTGTTTCTGGGGGCGCGGAAATGTCGTATTCTACCACGGATCGTGGCCTCGGGAGAGCGCACCTGCTGTATTCTGTGAGGGGGTTGGCAGCCTCAGGGGAGCGGGCGAGGCGCGCGGGGCCGTAGGGGGGAGGGGGGGCGTGGCCCCTGGAAGGCTACAGGAACCCTGCCAGACAGCACTTGGCGTTCCTCGGCGGCGAGCGAGGGGGGGAAGTGAGAAGGAGAAGGCCTTGTCAGAAGGCGGCGGGACTTCTCAGAAGCCCTCGCGCCTCCCGAGAAGTTTTTCTGCCCCTTCGGGGGAGGATCAGGAAGCTTCTCAGAAGGCCGGGGGGGTTCCGAGCCTTCTGAGAAGGCCTTCTCCTTCTCGCTTCCCCCCTCCCCCTCGCTCGCCGCCGATAGAAGGCTACAGGAACCCTGCCAGGCAGCACTTGGCGTTCTGGCACGCCTCCACGTGTCAGGGGGCACGGTGGCGGACGACATCTTCTTCTCGGCGAGTACCATCGAGGAGCATCTTGGGGGTCATCGAGGCCAAGAATTATTCACGAAGCCGAGGACGGGAGGCCAAGAACATGCACAGGAAATCGACGTCCGAGCGACGGCAAGTCTCAGGGGCAGCAGTGGAGGGGGAAGCCTCTGTCGTGGACCGCTTGTGCCTGGCGGTATCTCTTGGTACTAAAATGTCCGGATGGCACCCCGGACCTCGCCGGCGGATGACGGGAAGCTTTCTCAGACTCGAAGAGGAGTTGCGCGGTGGACGTTGTTTGCGACCCGGCGGGGGGGGAGATTTATCATTTGGGGGGTCCGGGGGGGAAGGGCTCCAGGTTGCTCCATGATTCGCGCCTGGTGGATGACAGGAAGCGCGCTCAGACTCGAAGAGTCGCGTGATGGGCGTTGTTTCCAACCGGGTGGGGAGATATTTACAAACTGGGAAGGTCCAGGGGGGGAACAGTGACGGGGGACATCCGTGGTCAAGGCCTTGCGGATCCACCAGAGTGGGATTTTGGCCTGAGCCATTCTCACAAAGCAGAGGTGTTGAAAGATCTGTTTTCAGATGGTTTGTGTTGAACATGGAGCTCTCGCTCGACACATCCGCAAACATATGGAGATGTTGAAGTCGCTCGCGAATCTTCGTACCCTGGAAAATGGAGCTCTCGCCGAGACATTCTCAAACAAATGTAGTGTTGTAAGGGCTGCTTTACGGCATGAATTTGGGGTTCTTGTTGATGACCCATCAGCTGGTCCCAGGAACGCCATGATACAAACACGTTGTCTTACATTTGTTGAATTTAGGCGTTTCGCTCGAGGCATCCTCGACAAAATGTACTCGGACAGGAAACGTGATGACAACACATACGAGTTTCACATACGTTTGCTTTACATAAAGCGTTTCGCTCGAGATATTCTCACAATGATGGGGTGCTGAGGGTCTCTGGACATATCAGAGTATGATGCAGATGCTGACGTTGATGCTCATGCTGATGCTGATGATCATGAATATCATGATGATGATCGTGATGGTTGTGATGATAACGATTGCAATCGTGACGCTGGCGATGATGCTGGTAGAGCTCATGGCGATAATGATGATGGAGAGGATGAACAGTAGCAGGGCCTCTGTCGTGCGACACCGTCCCCTGCACTCAAGGAGCTTTAATTGCAGCATGCGTGTGCGGTTCTTCCGAGGGGTTCGCGGGCTCCATTCAACATTGTTGGTTCCTGAACTTGCGCGGGTAGTGAGCTGCACCTGCTGTCTGCGGAGGGGGGAGCAAAATCGACCCAGGAAGCCAAGTAATTCAACAACCACTTGTGTGTTCCAGCACTCTTGCTCAGCAACAGACGCTTCGCCCGCGACACCATCAAATATGCAGTCGGACATTTTTAAGAACATCATATCAAGCTATGGTGAAGATGGTTATGCTAATGTTGATGATGATGGTGTTGATGATACTAATACTATTCATGCTAATACCCAGAATGCTGATGATGATGCTGATTATGATTATGATTGCCGTAGTGGTGGTGACGGTGGTACCTGGTCAGATTTTGGTGGTGCTGATGATGCTGACTGTGATGCCGATGCCGATCAGTACGATGGCAGGACACCCGCGTGATTGCAGTACGTTTTGTAGTCACTCCAGCTTGCTGGCCTCACTCTATCGGATGGGGACGAGTTGCCTCAGGGGGCTAGGACCAAGATCAGGAGCACTGCGTCGTCGGCGTCGTCGTCGCCGGCGGCGGTGGCGTCGTCGTTGTCGGCGTCGGCGTCGTCGTCGTCGGCGTCGTCGTCGATGCTGGCCCGTCGCGGGGGGCGGCCGGCCTCGAGCTGGGCCGCCGCCGCCTCGGCCTGGGCGCCAACTCAGCGCCACGTCCGAACCTACGCGGGTAGTGGGCTCCGCCTGACACCCCCTTGTGGACGGCGGGGAAGACCGCCTGTGCGACAGCTGACCTTAGTGCTGCTGCACGGCCTTTCGAAGCTCTTCGATTCCACGCGCTTCCCGTTCATGTGAGGAGGCGTATCTCAACCATGGCCGTTTCGCTAGGGATATCCTCACAAACCGGCTTCGGAGGGGGCTCCGAATCAACATCGTCTTGTAATCGCTCTTGGAGGGGCCAAGCGTGACCAAAGGAGGTCCACAAGGCCCCCCCCCCGGAGGACTCCAAGAGGCCTCCAAGAGGCTCCCAAGAGCGCCCCAGAAGGCCCCTGGACGGCCCCAAGAGAGCCCAAAGACAGCCCAAGACGGCACCAAGACGGCCTGGGATACCCCCCACATAACCTTGAGACACGCCCAGACAGCTCAAGAAGGCCAGGGTAGCCTCAAAAGATCACGAGGCCCCCCCCTTCTCCGACGTTCTTTTCCTCGTGCTCCTTATCGTCCTCCTTCGTCGTCTTCCTCCTGCTCCTCTGCTTCATTTCCCCTCGTGGTCGTCCTCCTTCTCCTCTTCCTCCTCGTCCTTGTGCCTGTCTTTCACCCTGTTGTCGTCCTCGCTCATCTCGCTGCCCTCTCCGTCATCCACGCTGTCATCCCTGTCACCCGCCGCCTTGCCGTTGCCATCATCCTTCACTTCTTGTCCTCCTCACGAGCCCAAAGCACAACATCGGCGCTTCCCGTTCTTGTCCGATCAGGTTCTTAGATTCGGGGGAGCGTAAGACCCGGGTTTGCCGGGACTCGGGTTCGCCATCGTTTTTTGACGACCGCGACTCGGATTTTGACGAGGAGGAGTTTCGTGGGATGTCTGCAGCGGGAGGCCTCGTCAAAATGCAGGCTCGGCCTCGTCATTTTCTTGACGACCTCGTCGGGGATTTCCGAGTCCCCCGTACCCGGGTCTTACGTCTCCCCGATAGATGCAGCGGGCAACACTGTGATATGGAGCGAGCACGCGAGAGAGCGTTCGACACGAGCGTGCGACGCGCGCCGTGCAGCGCAGCGCGCCGCTCGCCCGTGTGAGACACCGCGTTGCAGAGGCGGAGTCCAGTCCTCCCCCCCCGTCGGACTGGAAAGATACCGACGCCGCTGCTCCCAGGATTCCTCCTCCTCGCTCCTCCTCGCTCCTCCTCGCTCCTCCTCGCTCCTCCTCGCTCCTCCTCGCTCCTCCTCCTCCTCCCTCTCCTCCTCCTCCTCCTCCCTCTCCTCCTCCTCCTCCTCCTCCTCCTCCACCCCTCCTCGCTCCTCCTCTTTGCTCTTCCACTCCCGCGACGCCCTCCTCTACCTTCTCCTCCTCATCCTCCTCCTCTTCCTCCTCCTCCTCCTTGTCCTCCTCTCCCTCCTGATCCTCCTGCTCCTCCTCCTCGCTCCTCCTCCTCCTCCTCCTCCTCCTCCTCGCTCCCCGGATGCGTATCGACCAGGATTTCGAGGAGCATCCAGCCGTGGCGACGAAGGGCAGGCCACGGCACCGGTACCTCTTCCTCCTCTGACCGTCCCCTCCTTCCTTATAGATGTTCTTGCTGGGAACCTTCCTGGGGCCCAGTTGACAGATCTAGTTCGACTCCAGTTCGAATCTAGTTCGACTCCAGCTCTACTTTAGCTCGACCTTAACTCTACTCAAGTTCGGCTTAGGTCGACGGACATTCGACGCATCATCACCACATGAGTGGAGCGAGTGGCTCCAGGAAGGTCCCCAGAACGAGCATCAGCCGTGGCCCAGAAGCTGCCGGGTGCCGCAGGTAACCCCATCCCCGCGCGCTCGGGCGCCACGGCGGGGGCGGGCTTGCGGGCTACACGTCACAGTGGCCCTTCGCCAGAGCGACGTTTGGGGACGGCGGATAAGACGCAAGCGCACAGCCCGCCACTGTCGCATCGAGTGTAACGATCGGCAAGCCGCGCACCAAAGGCCACCTTTGCCGAGGGTCGAAGCAATGATGGCCCAAAAACATGAGCTTCTGGAGATTCGCGCGGATTCCTCCGATCGGCGCCGGACGCACCTGGCGGCACCTCCGGCGCCGCCCATGGCGCGCTCTGCGCGCCAGGAAGGTGGAGTCCAGCGCCGAGCCAAGAAATCCGCGCAGACCTCCGAAAGCTTGCAGTCGGCCCGGATTAGCAGGCCGACCCTGCCAAATCAAGGGTGCCTTTGTGTCCTGTGCTTCGCGACCCATGCCTCCTGCATTCCTATGGCAAAGTGTGGCCCTCGGAAGGGTCTTTTGTCCTCTCGCGTGCCCTGTCCAATGAAGTCCGACTGTACAGTCGGGGCCCTGAAGAAGGAACCCTTTTGGTTGGGGAGGGGCTCCGCGTTCCTTCAGTGCTTCACAGCTTGCCTCAGGTTTTCCTTATGTTTTCGATAGGAAGTCGAAGTTCAACTTGTGGAAAACAGGGGCCTCGCTCCTTCTTTAGTCGGGGGTGGACAGGACCCCCCAACAGTGACACGTCGATCAGCGAATCGTCCGTGTTCGGCTCTCGAGAGGGCGCCGTGGCCGTTGTTTTCCAGGCCTGCGCGCCCGCCAGGTTTGGGCCTCAGGTCGTTTTCACTACATTCGGACCGAGGTACAAGATCGAGGTCGATTCTGGGAGGGTACCCACACGTTCTTCGTGTTTGTTGGATGTTCTTGTGCATCCTGTGGGAGAGCACCCTCGAATGTTTCTTCGGTGTGGCCTTCGGAGGGGGTCTTGTGTTCTTGAAGGATGTTCTTCTGTCTTAGGCCCCGCTGTAAACCACGTGTTGCTAAAGGGGGGTCTGTCCATCCCCGATGTGGGGCTCCTTGGGTCCACGCCCCGACCGTGCGTGCGTGCCCGGGCGCGCTCCCCCACCTCTGCCATGGGGCCACTCCCTGCGCGCAGCCGGGGGGGGGGGGGGCACGCCCGCCGGGGGGGCCGGGCGACGCAGCCCGTGCACGCGCCGCTGCCCCCCCTCTGGCCGGGCCCCTCCTGCAGAAGGGCGATGGCCCCCCCCCCCCCCCGTCCCGACCTTCCTCCCCGAGCCGGCGGCTCGAGGGGTCGGGACGGGGGGTGTGGGCGCGGGTGTTCTCCACTCCTGGGGCCGAAGGACCACCCTCTACCCCCAGTCTCGACCCCCTGGGTCGCGGGATTCGGGGATGGGGCCGGGACTGGGGGCGGGGGTGGGCTTTCGCTTTCTCGTTCTTGGGCCCAGGCGCTGAGTGCACCCCGCAGTTGCGTTAGATACACCAGCGCCTTGGCTCGGGATGGGCCTGGCCAGGGAGCAGTGGATATGTTCGGACGGGGCTGGGGTGAGGATAAATGCGCTCCAGAGCGTTCCGGAACGCTCGCAGGGCGTGCCGGCACGCTCTGAGAAGGCCGCGGCGCCCGAGACATCCTCCGGAACCGCCGGATCTCAGAGATTCTTTTTTTATTCCGCTGCCCACGGCGAGTCCCGCCACCGTGCCTGGGTTGTGGGTTATCAGCCGAGTGGACGCTCGTTGGAGTCTCGTGGGAGACCCCGCGAGGGTCTCTTGAGGGCAGCTTTGGGGCCTCTTGGGGTCCGTTTTGGGGCCTCTTAGGGGGCCTCTTGGGGGGCCGTTTTGGGGCCTCTCGGGGGCCTCGCGTCTCCCCACATGCCGTGCGTAGAGTGAATGAATGGATTGTGCCGCTCCGGGCCCGGGGCAGGCGATGCTCGATACCGATTTTTCAATTCTACGATGATGAGACCCCAATCGAAAAGCCGTTGGGCGCCTCTCGGGCGCCTCCAAGGGGGATCTCATCCTCACCCGACGTTATCCTCGCCCTGGCTTCGTCTTGCGTGTGCACAGCTCGTCGCCCACCGGGGGGCGGCATGCCGGCGCGGAAGCGGCCCGCGTCCGGGGGGCCCGCGGCGCGCGGGCGGGGGCGCGGTGCGGCGCCCGCGCCGCGGCGGCGCCCCGCGCGGGCGGGCGGCGGCGCGGCGGGGGGCGCGGACGCGCCGGAGGGGCACGCCGCGCACGAGCACGTGCGGCTGAGGCTCGGACTGTGTCGGGGGTGTCCCCCCCTGCAGGGGGAGCTTCGACGAAAACTTAAAAAAAAACACATCTCCCAAAACATGCCCCCAAAAAAGGTCCCCAAAGGCCGAACAAATAGCCCCTGGATGTTGGATTTTTTTTTTTTGGGGGGGGGGGATTTTTTTTAAATAAAAAAAATCCGTCGCAAATCCCCCTGTAGGGGGACAGGCCCGACATAAGGCTCGGACCAGGGGCACCGATGGGGTGGAGACCCGTGCCAAGAGAAAAGCGCCCTGCTCGCCTCCGGGGTGCTCCGGGGTTTCTCTTTGGTTCCCATGGTTGTTCGGGGGTTGGTTCCCACGGTTGTGTAGGGGCGGAAAAGAGGGGGGTGATGACTAGGGGGGGGTGGATATCATGGCGGGGGTCATGATATTTCCCCAGATTTCATGGCGCCTCTTCTTATTTCATTACGTCCCTGGTCCCCCCGCTGGGCCGCGCACATGCCGCCGGTCATGCTTTGCACCCCCCCCTCTTGGACACCCCCCTCTTGGCCGCTCCCGAGGTTGTGCAGTGGAGGAAGCGCGACGTTCCCCACGCCAGAAATCCATGGACGTCCTGGGGTCTCAGGGCTGGGCTTCTCGCGGAAAGCTTCTTGTGGTCGGGCCCCCACTCTACCCGTCGGTCGTCGAAGGCAGATGTTTCCCGGGCTCCCAGATCCGGATCTGCTTCGGGCGCCCTCCTGCCTCAGGAATCGGCGTGCTCTTGCCGTGCGTTGCTGTTCTCTGGGAGGGCCTGGGCCCAGCCTGCTTGATTCCATCCGCCCTCCTGCTTCATGTTTTTGCCTGCAGTACTTCTTTCGACCGACGCGTAGGGGGAATATATACATATGTATGTCTGTCTGTCTGTCTGTCTGTCTGTCTGCCTGTCTGTCTGTCTGTCTGTCTGTCTGTCTGTCTGTCTGTCTGTCTGTCTGTATGTATGTATGTATGTATGTATGTATGTATGTCTGTGTATGTATGTATGTATGTCTGTATGTATGTATGTATGTATGTATGTATGTATGTATGTATGTATGTATGTATGTATGCATGTATGTATGTGTGTATGCATGCATGCATGCATGCATGTATGTATGTATGTATGTATGTATGGATGGATGGATGGATGGATGGAAGGATGGATGGATGGATGGATGTATGCATGCATGCATGCATGCATGCATACATGGCATGCATGCATGCATGCATGTATGTATTTATGTATGTATGTATGTATGTATGTATGTATGTATGTAGGTAGGTAGGTAGGTAGGTATGTATGTATGTATGTATGTATGTATGTATGTATGTATGTATGTATGTATGCGTGTGTATGCATATATACATACATACACATATATACATACACATATATACATACACACATATATATATATATATACATATATATATATATATATATGTGTTGGCACATGTTTTTGCCTACTCCTTCCGACCGACGTGTTGGGGGGGATGTAGGCATACGGGGGACGTATCGGCCCCCCGTCGCCCCTGGATGGCCGATGGGGGCTCGATAGCCCCGACCTGCCCGGGAGCGTGCGGATTCACTTCAGGAGGGGGAACAAAAAACATACACAATTTAATCGTCGATCCCCAGGAAAATATGAAAAAATATGGGAAGTGGGGGGAGACAAAAACGTAGAAAATATAGAACAATATGGGGAATCCTTTTATTTGTGTGTATTTATTTTGTGTGTGTGTGTGTGTGTGTCTCAGGGTCCCTTCATCACTATCAGGGCCCATCGCCGATCTATCCGCGATGTATCGCCGATCCCAGGTCGACGAGTCCCTCCCTGTGTCAGTCCCCCTATCCTTGCCCCTCATCAGGGGAGGAAAAGGTAGGAAATGCTTGTGTCGTGACGACTGCGGCGTTGGTTTCTGACACCGCGTGGATCGTTCATCTTTGCACGATCAGCGCTTTTCCGATCGTCAGGTCGTTCCATATCGGTCGATTCTGTGCCTCTGGCGGCGTAACTTTGCACGCCCGCGGCTTGGTCGCCGCCTTGTCGGCATGACACGAACCTACTCCTCCGATGCCGCTACCCCTCCCTTGTTTTCGCCTTTTGGGGCCTCTTGGCAGGCCCTCGTCGCCACGGCTGGACTCGCCTCGAGATCTTGGCCAGGACGCTCCGCGGGAGAGGTCCGGGAAGTAACAGTATTGGTACCTTCTGGCTTTCCAAGAGGCGCGGGTTCGCCACGTTCCGCCTGGATGCGGCGGTGGCGGAGAGCGCCAAGGACTGGGCGGCGGGACCTGCTGCGTAAGCATGGCCGCCGCCCCTGGACAGGCTCATCCTGGGCGCAAGAGTGGCGTGGCCGCTCAGCGGCACCTCACTGGGTACTCACTGATGGGCTCTTTGGAAGCTTTCCGAAAGTGGCCACTTTCGGGCCTCTGTCTGGGACTGCAGCGTTGCCCGCATCGGGGTGGGTTAGGTTCGCTGGGTCACTAGCCAGACCCAGAGATCCGTTGTCGCGATTTTCCCCGAAGTCACGGCCCATTCCCCAGGACTGGTCTTTCATCCCGAGCCGTTTTTTGACGGTCCCACGACCCGGCGAGGGCCTCTAGAGGCAGAATTCTGCGAAAAGCCTCCGTGTAGATTTTTACCTAACAGCTTTTGCTGATAGGTTTCTAGTGGGGTCAAAAGAGAGCAGCAGATGACTCCACAGGGGGGTCGGGGCGGCATCCGGGGAGCTGTGTCCGAACTCGTGTCCGAACTCGTTTTTCGCAAACAGTCACACACTTCGTGCTCTTCGACCTCCCAGAACTCCATTCCCGGGCCACATTCTGAATGCCCGGAGCCAACTGTAGGCCACTTCGTGCTCTTCGACTTCCCAGAACTCCATTCCCGGGCCACATTTTGAATGCCCGGAGCCAACTGTAGGCCACTTCGTGCTCTTCGACTTCCCAGAACTCCATTCCCGGGCCACATTTTGGATGCCCGGAGCCAACTGTAGGCCACTTCGTGCTCTTCGAGTTCCCAGAACTCCATTCCCGGGCCACATTTTGAATGCCCGGAGCCAACTGTAGGCCACTTCGTGGTCTTCGAGTTCCCAGAACTCCATTCCTGGGTATGATTTTGAATGCCCGGAGCCAACTGTAGGCCACTTCGTGCTCTTCGAGTTCCCAGAACTCCATTCCCGGGCCACATTTGAGGCTGAGGCATGCTGAGGCAGGCTGAGGCTGAGGCTGAGGCAGGCTGATGCTGAGGCAGGCTGAGGCTGAGGCTGAGGCTGATGCAGGCTGAGGCTGAGGCAGGCTGAGGCTGAGGCCGAGGCTGAAGGCAGACTGAGGCTGAGGCTGAAGCAGGCTGAGGCTGAGGCTGAGGCTGAGGCAGGCTGAGGCTGAGGCTGAGGCAGGCTGATGCTGAGGCTGAGGCTGAGGCTGAGGCTGAGGCTGAGGCTGCAGGCTGAGGCTGAGGCAGCTGAGGCTGAGGCTGGCAGGCTGAGGCTGAGGCTGAGGCTGAGGCAGGCTGAGGCTGAGGCTGAGGCTGAGGCTGAGGCTGAGGCTGAGGCTGATGCAGGCTGAGGCTGAGGCAGGCTGAGGCTGAGGCCGAGGCTGAAGGCAGACTGAGGCTGAGGCTGGCAGGCTGAGGCTGAGGCTGAGGCAGGCTGAGGCTGAGGAGGCTGAGGCTGAGGCTGAGGCAGGCTGAGGCTGAGGCTGAGGCTGCAGGCTGAGGCTGAGGCAGGCTGAGGCTGAGGCTGAGGCTGAGGCTGAGGCTGAGGCTGAGGCTGAGGCTGAGACTGCAGGCTGAGGCTGAGGCTGAGGACTGAGGCTGAGGCTGAGGCTGAGGCTGAGGCTGAGGCTGAGGCAGGCTGATGCTGAGGCAGGCTGAGGCTGAGGCTGAGGCTGATGCAGGCTGAGGCTGATGAGGCTGAGGCTGAGGCTGAAGCAGGCTGAGGCTGATGCTGAGGCAGGCTGAGGCTGAGGCTGAGGCTGAGGCTGCAGGCTGAGGCTGAGGCTGAGGCTGAGGCCGAGGCCGAGGCTGAAGGCAGACTGAGGCTGAGGCTGAAGCAGGCTGAGGCTGAGGCTGAGGCAGGCTGAGGCTGAGGCTGAGGCAGGCTGATGCTGAGGCAGGCTGAGGCTGAGGCTGAGGCTGATGCAGGCTGAGGCTGAGGCAGGCTGAGGCTGAGGCCGAGGCTGAAGGCAGACTGAGGCTGAGGCTGAAGCAGGCTGAGGCTGAGGCTGAGGCAGGCTGAGGCTGAGGCTGAGGCAGGCTGATGCTGAGGCAGGCTGAGGCTGAGGCTGAGGCTGATGCAGGCTGAGGCTGAGGCAGGCTGAGGCTGAGGCCGAGGCTGAAGGCAGACTGAGGCTGAGGCTGAAGCAGGCTGAGGCTGAGGCTGAGGCAGGCTGAGGCTGAGGCAGGCTGAGGCTGAGGCTGAGGCAGGCTGAGGCTGAGGCTGTGACTGCGACTGCCGTTGCCACTGCGACTGTCATCGCGAATGCGACTACGACTGCGAGAACAGCAGAATTCTACAACTGGATTCTCATCCGAATCTTAAGGGGAATGCTTCCAGATATACTCCTACACATCGCTGTTAGGTTGCTTTGCCGGGATAATTTTTTCAGTGCGTTGGATATTTGGGGAGTGCCCGTTGGTGGAGTCCCCGTTAGGGAGAGGGGCGTTGGTGCGCTTACCCGGCTCGGCCGGGGAGCCAGAGGGGCACCCACGCGTGGGCCCAGGAGGGGCCGGGTCAGGGGCGGCGGACGCGCGCACCAGGAGGTCCGACGACGTGAAGCAATGCTTCGAAGCATCACGATCAGCGTTACGTAGCACCCCGCAGTCGCGGGTAAGAGCGAGGGGCCGGCGGGGACGTCGGCGGGCTGCGAGGCTCTGAAGAAGCCCGCCGCAGGCGCTTAATGCTTGCGAGTTGTACAACGAGCCCGCCGCAGGCGCCGATTTTTCGTTGAAGCAATGTGGGTGGGTCGCGCGGTGGGTCGCGAGTGGGTCGCCGGTGGGTCGCGGGTGGGTCGCGGGCCGGGTCGCGGGTGGGTCGCGGGTGGTTCTCGGGCGGGTCGCGGGGTCACGACCAGAGTTCTGATGTCCTAACCTGCTTTAGTTTTGATGACTAGGGAGAATTTGTCGAGCACCAAGGAAGCACCGAACCTGCCGGGTTTTCACGTGTCGGGTCCTGAGAGGCGAGGCTTGGTCAACACTTCGTCCGCGTATCGGGTGGACGCTGTTTCGATACTTCTCGGGCTGCTCGAAATTATTTCTGGGATGTAGTCCTTGAGTACGAGGGGAACAACATAAGACCACAGCCCTCGACTCCACCTTTCTGCGCCATTGTTCAAGTCGCGTCGATCTGTGAGGGTCACCAGGCCCGAAACCTGGCAAGAACGCCCAGTGCGAGCTGCTTGAAACGTCAGTGACTCTGAGTAGACCCCAGACGTGGGATGACCGTCATTTTTCGTTGCGGGGCCCTTGGACGTCCCGACCCCTGCCCCAGTTCTCGAGAGATTAAAAAACGCCCCTACCCTGGTTTATGAGGCGCTGTGCGCTGAAACTCCTGTGGGCCGACAGGGCAAGCCCTGCGTGAGGTGCGGCGCCCTGGCGCCCTCTAGGTGTTGGGGGCTCCCAGGAGGCCTACAGACCACGCACTCGTAACCCAGGGCAGGGTCGTTTTTTCTTCATCCCTCAAAGTTCTGTTTTTCCATCGCGAGCTCTTTTTCGTGATGGCCCCTCGGCGACAAGAGCCCCCGGACGCCGAGAGAGCGGCCCCCCAAAAGCCGCCCGCCGCGGCCCCGCATGCACCGCGCGAGCACGTCGAGGGCACAGGGCCTCTCGCCGCCCCCTGCGAGGAGGCGCGGGGCATCGGGCCCGGTGCGCACCCCCGCCGGATCCAGCCTGCGCACGTCCGCGTCGACCCGGGCGAGCTGGGCGGGGACCGCGAGGCCGCGCTGCGCGTGGCGCGGCTCGCGTTCGTCTTCGCCCAGGAGCAGGGCGCCGCGGTGGGCGCCGTGCGGCGCCACGTGCGGCTGCTGTGCCGCGAGGAGGCCGGCGGGGAGGCTCCGGGGAGCGGGCAGTGGCAGGAGCAGCTGCAGTGGAGACCCATGCCAAGAGTCGCCCTGCTTGCCTCCAGGGTGCCTCGGGTTTCTTGGGTCTTGATGGTTCTGCTGTTCTAGGCCTCTTAGATGGGGTCGGAGTGGATGGGGTCGGAGGACAGCGCCGCATCGCCGATGCATCGACGATGCGGCTCGATGTGGGGCCCGATTTGCTTCACGTCGACGGCGCCGATGCATCGCCCACGTCAACGATGCATTGCAGGTGCATCGCCGATGCATCGCCAATGCATCGCCGATGCACCGGCGATGTATCGGCGACGCGGCGCGATCGCGATCCTCCGACCCCATCTACTCAGACCCCGTCTGGGAGGCCCCTAGCCATGGACAGCGTGACGTCCCCACGCCAGAACTCCATGGACTCTCTGGGGTCTCAGGGTCGGGTGCCCTGTGGAGGGCTCCTTGTGGTCGGGCCCCTGCTCTCTAGAGACACCCGCAGCTCCGCGCGGACCCCCTGGATCGGCCCCCCGATGCTCGGAGGCCCCGGCAGGCCCGGAGGCGCGCGCGCGAGGCCCGGAGGGGCGCGGAGGAAGCAGGCCCGAGCGGCAGCACGCGTCGACCGGCCGGTCCTGAAGGGTCCTCCTCCTCGACGGGGCGGCTCCGCGCGGAGCTCTGGCACCGGCGCCGGAGCTCCGCGCGCCAGGGAGGGGCGGGCTCAGCGCTGGCCCGAGGGATCCGCGCGGAGCTCCGAGTTTTTGTGGGCTCGGGTCGTCGCCCGTCCTTCGCGGCCGCCCTGGCTGTCCAGTTTCCCCCCTCTCCTGCACGCAAGGGCACTTCGCGTATCGGTCGCCTCGATCGCCGCCCGCCGGAGCAGTTCCTCGGCCACGCGCAGGGCGGGGGCTTAGGGGGAGGGGGGAAGGCTTCTTAGAAGCACCCTTGCTTCTTAGAAGGCGCGGGCCTCCTCTGTAGATGTAAGGCCCGCGCCTTCTCAGAAGCAGCCTCCTTCTAAGAAGCCTTCCCCCCCTGATTACCCCCCTGTGCGCGCCGCCAAGCTCTTCTGCCTCGACGCTGACGACAAAATACAGTGCCAATTTTCATACATGCTCCGCGTGCGGATCACGTATTAAACACGCAGGGATCTTCATGTAGTCAGAATCCAATATTTTAAACAATCCTATGCATTAAAAACTGCCCTGCAGTGTGCAGGTCGTGACCCGTCGCCCCAAAGGCGCCGCCGCCCGCGGCCAAGAGGCCTCGCGTGAAGGGCCCGGCCGCCGGGGGAGCTCCGGCGCTCCCGCCCCTGCGCCTGTCCGAGCTGCGGGTGCCGGACGTGGAGCACCCGGTGGCCGAGCAGCGAGCAGAGCCCGAGTGGGTGAGCAGGCGTCGGCTTGGCTGAAGTCGGGCGTGTCCCCTCTGCAGGAGGGATCTCCAAACATAGCCACAACATGGTCCGAAAGCGAGGTTCTTCTTCTTGTGAGGTTGCATACTGTTTTGTCAATTTGCCATGTTTCCTCCCAAGTCCGCCTGTGGGAGGACATGCCCGACCTAAGGCTTGGCCCGAGAGGGGCGGCCTCGAGGAGCCCCGGGCCTCCCAGACAGGGTCCGAGCAGATGTGGTCGGAGGACCGCGCCGCATCGCCGAGGTCGCCGATACATCGGCGACGTCGCCGACGCATCGCCGATGCATCTGTGATGCATCGACGATGCAGCGCGATCCTCCGACCCCGTCTACCCCGACAACATCTGGGAGGCCTCAAAGAGCAAATTTCGGCATGAGCAAAACTTCTCGGAGGTCCGCGCGGACTTCCGAGCAGTTCTATTGGAGACCCATGCCAAGAACCGCCCTGCTTGCCTCCAGGGTGCCCTGGGCTTCTTCGGTTTCGATGGTTCTGCTATGGACAGCGTGACGTCCCCACACCAAAAATCAGTGGGCGACCGGGGGTCTCAGGGTTGAGTTCCTTGCAGAAGGTCTCTTGTGGTCGGGCCCCCACTTTGTGCCGATTTTGTTCCTCCAGAGGAGTGCTGTTTGGGCGCTACTTCTTCACCTTTCGCAGGCCTCTGGGAGGCCCCTCGCCTCCACGCCCGGGTTCGCGTCGAGGTTCCGGCAAGAGCGCACCCCAGGATTGGTCTGGGGTCGATTCTGAAGCCGGCCCCCAGAGCCCCTCGAGTAGTCATTTGCCGGCACGCGCCAGGGGTGGCGCGAGTTGGGGTGGGCTTCTGAGAGGGCAGGGTGCTTCCTAGAAGGTTGGGCCCTTCTTGGAGGGGTCCGTGGCCTTCCGAGAGGGCCTTGCAGAAGCCGGCCGCCCGCCTTCTTCGAAGCTTCCCCGCCTTCTCAGAAGGCCGGCCCCCCTCAGGCCTCCGTCTCGTGCGCTCCGCCAGGCTGATGCGGATGATCAACTCCAGGGAGACGATTGCGAAGAACAGGGCGGAGGGGCGGTCTGGTGCTGCAGTCTACGCCGGGGTGGACCCCGAGTTCCTGCCGTACTTCCAGCGGCGGGCCTGCCCGAATGTGCAGCGGCGCAACGACAGGACCCAGGGCTCGACCTGCAAGGAGTTCTGGCGCTCTCTTGGGCCATTTTCGTATTGTTCAGGAGGGGAAACAACACAGACACAATTAATCGTCGATTCCAAGGAAAATATAGGGAAATCTGGGAAGTCGGGGGGAAGACAAAAACCCAGAAGATGTGGGGAAATATTGGGAATCCGGTTATTTGTGTCTATTTATTTGTGTGTCCCTGGGCCCCTTCAGTTGTGCTTCGTGCTGCAGCGAAGGCGGAGCGAAGATAGAACGATGGAAAGCGATCACATACAAAATCGACCAACGCTGTCCGAACCATCCCCACCGACCACCCATGCTTCTCAATCGATGGGAGGCGGGGGCACGGTTCGCATTCTGCTACGTGTCCCACGAATTCCGAAACCTACCCCCGCCGCCCATCGAGTTGCCTGAATCGTTGATCACCGCCGAACTGTTTTGGTCGAGCCCTGGCAGGACCACCCGTGACCTGCATAGGCTCGCTGCGGCGCAGGAGCGTCTGCGCCTGTGCTCGTCGGAGGCCGAGACGCACCGGCTGAAGCGGCTGCTGGTACTCAACTTCGCGGTCTGGCGCTGCGTTGGGGGCACGGCCGCTTTTGCGCGGGCTGTGGGCTTTCTCACCGACTGGACCGACGCCGAGAAGGAGACTAGTCTCCTTCATCCCCGGGCTATAACGGGCGTGACCGGGGGCAGGAGAGGGCGGGGGTGGCGGTCACGGCGCGCTTCGCGCCGGCGCCGTCTGCGAGTGCTCGAGAACATGGCCCATTCACAGGCGGCGCTGGCGTGATCCGCGACGTGACCAGGGAGGGGCGGGGCGGGGCCTGCAGGGGGGCAGGGCCAGTCACGGGCGTTGCCGCGAGTAAGAAAGTATCCGGGCGAAAGGCCCAACTATGCGCAACTGTAGGGGGCCACATGCGAACCCTACCCCTACCCCCACGATCTCTGAGGGGGAGGGTGGGGTAGGGTTCGCATGTGGCCCCCTAAATTGTGAATACCGCGTTGTGGGTGCCGCTGTCCGTGGAGCTCCATATGGGGTCACGAACCGTGTGAAGGGGTGTGCCAAAATGGGCGTCGGGCGCATGCGGCCTGTGCCACTGGGGCCTTCGGTGGAGCTCCCTGTGGGGCCATGAACCGTGTGAGGGGTGTGCCAAAATGGGTGGCGGTCCCCGCATGCGGACCCTGCCGCTGGGGCCTTCGGTGGAGCTCCCTGTGGGGCCACGATCCTCGTGAGGGGTGTGCCAAAATGGGTGGCGGTCCCCGCATGCGGACCCTGCCCTGCGGGGCCAGGGGTATGCTTACATGGGTGGCAGTCCCCGCATGCGGACCCTGCCGCTCGGGCCTTCGGTGGAGCTCCCTGTGGGGTCACGATCCTCGTGAGGGGTGTGCCAAAATGGGCGGCGGTCCCCGCATGCGGACCCTGCCACTGGGGCCTTCAGTGGAGCTCCCTATGGGAGGGGTGTGATGGGTGGCAGTCCCCGCGTGCGGACCCTGCCGCTGGGGCCTTCGTTGGAGCTCCCTGTGGGGCCATGAACCTTGTGAGGGGTGTGCCACAATGGGTGGCAGTCCTCGCATGCGGACCCTGCCACTGGGGCTTTCGGTAGAGCTCCTGTGAGGCCGCGAACCTTGTGAGGGGTGCCTAAATTGGTGGCGGTCTCCGCATGCGGACCCTGCCGCTGGGGCCTTCGGTGGAGCTCCCTGTGGGGCCACGGTTCTCGTGAGGGGTGTGCCAAAATGGGTGGCGGTCTCCGCATGCAGACCCTGCTATTGGTGCCTTCGGTGGAGCTCCCTATGGGGCCACGGACCGTGTGAGGGGTGTGCTTACATGGGTGGCGGTCCACGCATGCGCACCCTGCCGCTGGGGCCTTCGGCGGAGCTCCTTGTGGGGTCACGATCCTCGTGAGGGGTGTGCCAAAATGGGTGGCGGTCCCCGCATGCGGACCCTGCCACTGGGGCCTTCGGTGGAGCTCCCTATGGGGCCACGAACCGTGTGACGGTCCCCGCATGCGGACCCTGCCGCTGGGGCCTTCGTTGGAGCTCCTTGTGTGTGCCAAAATGGGTGGCGGTCCCCGCATGCGGACCCTGCCGCTGGGGCCTTCGGTGGAGCTCTCTATGGGGTCACCAACAGTGTGAGGGGTGTGCCTACATGGGTGGCGGTCCCCGCGTGCGGACCCTGCCGCTGGGGCCATCGGTGGAGCTCCCTGTTGGGCACGAATCTCGTGAGGGTGTGCCAAAATGGGTGGCGGTCCCCGCATGCGGACCCTGCCACTGGGGCCTTCGGTGGAGCTCCCTATGGGGCCACGAACCGTGTGAGGGGTGTGCTAGAATGGGATGGGCATGCGGAGGGCAGAGGCAAGGCATGGGAGGAGGGAGGAGGGGGAGGGGGCAGCGGGAAGGAAGGAAGGAACGCCGGGCGCTGTCTCTTCAAAACGAGGACCCCACACCACAGGATGGTTGGGACAAATTGTCTCAAGGATCACATCCGCGAGGTGGTGCGCGACGCCGCCAGCAGACAGCAGGCTTCTGCGCTCTTCTCGGACGCGTACGAGGCGACGGCCAAGCTGCGGAAGCTCCTCAAGTCGTGCAGTGCGGAGCGGCTCGAGTCCGTGCTGTACAACACCGGCCCTGGAGCGTTCCACCGGGAGCCCATGGCAACCTTCTTCACGCTGCACGGCAGGTTTCGGCTGATCGACCTGGTGTGGCAGTTGTCCACGGATGTGGTCGCGGCCGCGGCGCCCGACCCCACCACGGGGTCCACGAGGTGGCAGCCCGTGATGAACGTGCTGGGGAGGCTGCCTTACTTTGGCGTCGACGAGGGCAACGAGAGGTGGCCGACGTTTCTCAGCAAGGAGCTGGCGCAGGACCTCCTGGACACCCCGGTGTTCGAGGGTGGACGCGCCCGGGTTGCGGACCTGCGCACGTGCTGCCCAGCAGGCCCGGGGGCGAAGCTCGGTCTGATGCTGCTGTTCAACCTGCCCAGGACGCCCACGCAGCGCCAGGCGATTCCGTTGATGCGCTCGCTGCTGGAGTCCGCGAGCGGGCCAGGCGGCTGGGCGCACGGGAACCCCTCGGAGCTGGAGCTGCATGACATCCAGTTCATGCTCTGCGAGTTGCAGAAATTCTTGACGCTTCGCGTATGCACACCTGTGTTTAGGTTCTGATCGCGCGCTCGGTATCGCGCCTTCGCTTGCTTGTCGCTGTATAATTTGTAGGGACCGCGCCCCGGACTTACCTTTGACGCCCCATGCGCTTTCGCTGGCGGCTGCGACAAATATTATATTATATGTATATATATGCACACCTGTGGTTGCCCCTCTCCGCTCTTGCGCCGACACGATGTTTTGGCATTTGTATCGCCTATGTCACGGATGTCGTCTGGGTGTGCCTGTCGGTCTAGTTCTATCTGACGGTGCTGTTTGCCTGACTCACACCGAGCGGTCGACCTCTGCGTGTTTATGGTCGCGCCGCCGCGCCACTTTGGCTGCGCCTCCTTGCTGGTCGCCGCCGGGATCTCCAACGCCACCGGATTTGGGAGTATCGGCTCTGGCTTCCCTCCTGAGTGGCTGCCCGCTCGCTCGCTTCGCTCGCCTTTCTCTTCCTGCTGCCCAGTCGCGGCCCGACTTGCGACCAGTGCTCGGACGGGTGTCGACCCGCCTCGCGAGCCGGTCGGCCCACAAGCAGGCGCACCTGTCTCTTTGACGGCCCACGGCGTCCTCCGGTGCGCTCGCGATCAAAAAAACGTACGTACCCATCGGTCGTTGAAAGTAGGTATTTTTGGATTCCCAGATTCCAATCTACTTTCAGCGCCTTCCTACTTCGATGATCGAGTGGCTTCGCCTCTTCCGTCCTCTTCAGGGGGCGAGCGGACACCCAATCTACTTCCAGCGCCTTCCTACTTCATGTTTCTACCTACTTCTTCCGACCGATGGGTACACTTGTCCACTCCGGGGCGATGCCCAGGCGACGTGTCGGGAGAAGGGAAGTAGAGACGCATTCCGTGAAGCAAGGGGTAGCCTTTTGAAGCTGCATCCGGGCCACCTTGGGGCGTCATGGCGCCCTTTTGGGTGGGGCCCTCTTGGAGCCCTCAGTGGGGACCCTCTTGGGGGCCCAGGTGGCCCTCTCAGAACCATCTGGGAAGCCATCGAGCGACGCTGGGGTCGGCATTTATTCGGGTGCCCTGCGTCGGGGGCCGTACATTAGTCTCATGGGGCTCCCTTAGGACGCTCTTGGGTCGCTTCGGGGGGCATTTGAGGCAGTCTTGGAGCCCTTCGGGGCCTTACTCGGGTCTTCAGGTCCCAGGAGTCCATCGGAAGCGAAAAGGCGGACAGGTTTTTGAATGATTCAGGCTTCTTGAGGGCGTCCAAAGGAGGCTCCGAGGCCTCTTGGAACCATCTTTGGGCAGTGTTGGAGCTTCTTGGCGGCATACTTGAAGGCATCTCGAGCCAATATTGTGTTATTTTGTGCCAGCAAGCATTCAAGTTTGGGTTCGCCGAGATCATCTATGAGCCATTTCAAACCGTCTGTGACGCGCTAGCGCGTCGCGAAACCTTGGCCCCGACCCGACCCCAGGGGAAACAATTCTTCGAATAAAACGGACAGCCCCTTCGACTGTCCCTAAGCCAAGGCACCTGTCTGCGTGACCCCCGTCTTGGCTTCGGCAAGGTAAACTAAGGCGGCTTCCAAGATATCCATCAAAATATCACGCGATGGCCTACATGGGCCTCCCAGCGGCCTCCAGACTGTCTCAAGACGGTTCGAGGTGGCCACGGAGCCTTTTTAGGAGGGCCCTGCATAATCCAGACACATCCATATCAATCTATGTATATATCCATCCATCTATCTATCTATCCATATTTCTATATATATATATATTATCCAAACAACGCTTGCACTGAGATGTTTCTACCTCTTGCTAATGAGCTGGGCCTGTCTGTCGGCCTGTCGGCCATGTGGCCGCCGTCGCCGCCTCGTCGCCGTCCGTCGTCTGGTCCTGTCTGTCGGTCTGGCGACTATGCGGCCGCCGTCTCCGCTTCGTCGCCGCCTCGTCGCCGCCTGTCGTTTGAGCCTGTCTGTCGGTCTGGCGGCTATGTTGTCACTGCCTTCTGCCCCGTCGCCGCCGTCGCCGCTTGTCGCCGCCGTTATATAGCACCACATCGATTGCTTTGCATTGCTTCGCATTTCTTTGCGTTGCTTTGCACTTGGCGCTACATATATTGCGCGTGGGCAGCATAGACTGCACAGCATTGGTTGCACCACATATGTCGCTGCAGCTATATTGTATGTACATCGTCTATTACCCGACATGGACGGCACACCGTATATTGCACAACGTAGGCGGCAAACCTATGTACACGCGTATGTTATACATATCGTGTAGTGCACAACATACATGTCATACCAATTATTGCACATCACATATTGTACCACATGGCAGGCACAGCTCATTTCTGCGCAACATGAACAAGTTGCACACTGTTGATGGCACCAACGATATTGCACCACATGTAAGGCACACAGTAAATGGCACACCATACACCCATTCTAGAGAGTATTCGGATCCCCCCCCCCCCCCCCGGGACGTATGCCCCCCCCATCCCCTCTGGGGATTTGCAAAGTATTTGTGGTTCTGCCCCATCGTCCATCCGAGTTATGAACCCATGTCATCCCAGCTAAACCATTATCCCCCCCTCATTCTCTGCAAAAGGTACCTGCGCGCACTCGTTTACCAAGAAGCATCAGTTTTCAAGAACTCCTTGCAAACAATAGACGAAATGCGCGCGCGCGCGCCGTCTCGCGCGCATGCCGAAATCCTTTAGAACCCTGAGGCTTCGTAAGGATTTCAACATTTCAACACACTGTTTTGCACCACAGACTTGTTTTTGAAGCTTGCGCTCGCGCGTTTGCAGATCCTTAAGACAGCCATACGCTTCTCAATAGGTTCATAACGTGGTATCAAACGGGCCTCTCGCGCCCGCATGCCGAGTCGTTCGAACGCCCCTGCGCCCGTGCTGTCGCAATGACCTTTTGCAGAAAATGGAACGAAGTGCACACGCGCGCGCGTCGTCGCGCGCGCATGCCGAAATCTTTCAAACACCTTCAGTTTCGTACGGGTTTCAAAATTGAACGTCCCGAGTACGTAAATTACCACCTGGCTTCGCAGCATCAGTTTTCAAAAAGGCCTGCGCGCTCTTGTGGATTCTTAAGAACACCATCGGTTTTTCAACACCGCCATCACATTCTGCCAAACGGGCCTCTCGCGCCGCGTGCAACTCATGCGAACGCCCATGCGCGCGTGCTGGGGGGGCACGCTCCTGGTCAAATGATACCACGCGGGCCACGCGTCCGCGTCGGTCGAGCCGCACCAGCTGGTCGCTGCGCGCGCGAGCATGCGCGGGCTAGCGCGGCCGAGGAGATGCACCAGCTAACGCTAAGCACTCATCGCAACCGCCGCCACGTGGGTTTTGCAAACCAAGTTGCGGGTGGGTGGGTGGGATGATTGCGCGAGCAGTGGAGTTGACAGCTCACTGCGAGCATACGTGAAATACACCCTCTAGGTTGCACCACGTACGTGCAACGCAGATTGCACCACAAAGTTTGCGCACCAGAGGTTGCACACATGTTACTGGGCAGTAAAAACTGCACCGCCTATGTATATGTATGTATATGTCTGTCTGTCTGTCTGTCTGTCTGTCTGTCTGTCTGTCTGTCTGTCTGTCTGTCTGTCTGTCTGTCTGTCTGTCTGTCTGTCTGTCTGTCTGTATGTATATACAGGTATATATAGATATAGACACATTCTATGTATGTATATTTGCTATACTACAGCCAACATTGCTCCACATAGAATGCACAACGCAACTTGCACCACATATATTGCACCACGTAGAGTGGACCACGTACGTGGCCCCAGATATATGGTGCAACCTAGATTGTACAATCTGTGCTAGTCCACATCTATTGCACCACATATTTTGCCCCACGTAGACGGAACATCGTATATGGCACTAATTCGTTTTCACCACACAGGTTACAGGACATGCATATTTCAGAACATATCTGCACCACACAGGCTGCGCAACATATATTGCACCACGTGTGTTGCACTACTCAGATTGCTCCACCTAGATGGCACACCACATATTGCTAGAAACATTTTGTTTTGGGGCACGCGCTGGCTAACAACTTCTTCTATTTTTTCTGTCCTTACAGCTTTCTGGCCTCCGTTAAGAAGGCCGCACTACCCCAAACGAGCTTCAAAGGACTCCCCAGCGGTCTCGCCCCCCCAGCAGCAAGTCCGAGACTCCGCCTAGCATCGATTGTGAAGGCCTTGCGGCCGGTGCCGCCGACCTTGAAGATTTCGACGATGAGAGCGAGGAGGAGGAGGAGGAGGAGGAGGAGGAGGAGGAGGAGGAGGAGGAGGAGGAGGGGAAGGAGGAGGAGTAGGAGGAGGATGTGGAGGACGCGGTGGAGCAGCAGGAGGAGGAGGACGAGGAGGAGGAGGAGGAGGATGAGGAGGACGAGGAGGAGGAGGAGGGGGAGGGGGAGCAGGGGCAGGGGGAGGACGGGAGGGGGGGGGGAGTGAGCAGCAGGAGGACGAGGAAAGGGGGAGTCGGAGGAGCAGGAGAACAGGGAGGACGCGGAGGACGGGGAGGACGGGGCAGCTCCGAGGCCCCCCCCTGGCAGCGATGCCCATCCGTGCCCTCGCTCTGCTGGTGTCGCGGCTGGCCAGAGGTCACCGCGCCAGACGGCCAGAGGTCACCGCGCAGGGTCCACGGGCAGAGGGCGGGGAAGGTGCTGCGACGTGGTGTACGGCGGGCACGACGACGACGACGGCGACGACGACGACGACGACGACGACGACGACGACGACCAGTAGTATCCATGTCTGAGCCCCGTCCGCCGGTCGTTGAAAGTAGGCATTCCTGGATGCCCAGGTCCCACTCTGCTTTGGGCGCCCTCCTGCTTCCACACGGGCCGGGCGGTCCTCCTCCTTGCCTCCTCTCTCAGGTGGCGTGCGGATCTCCGATCTGCTTCCATCGCTCTCCTACCGTACATCGACAAAATGTTGCACCACGTTTGCTGGGCATTGGCACCTGTACTGCATTGCTCTTGCCCCCCCTTTCCCCCCGATCTTAATATTGGGTGCATGGCGAAGAGCCCCTGTTCCGCCCGGGGGCTCCCGACAAAATGTTGCACCACCGAGCTGTTTCGACCAGCCCGGGTCCGAACCCACTGTTAAGATCGGGGGGGAGGGGAGGGGAAACACACGATTGATACAACAGCGATGCGATTTATGGTCAGCGCCAGGCGGTGCAACACTTTGTCGATGCACCGTACCTCACGCTGCTACCAAGTTCTTCCGACCGGCGGGTAAGCACAGCCCAGCCGTGCCGTTCTCTGCGCTCGGGGCCCGCCACCTCGGCGTGCTCTCCGCTTCCGGGTCCTCCACGGGGGCCTCGGGCCTTCGGCGGGCGGTCTCATATGCTCTTGGTCCGCGCTCCTGCGGCCATGCCTCGCGTGCAGGGGGGAGGGGCGAACCCCTCCACGAAGGGGAAGAGCACTGGGAACGACAGGGGGCCACATGCGAACCCTCCCCCTCCCCCCCGCGCTTTCTGAGGGGGAGGGTGGGGTTCACTTCGCTCGGGAGCTCCCGAGCGAGGTGAACCCACCCTCCCCCTCTCAGAAATCGTGGGGGGTATGGGGTAGGGTTCGCATGTGGCCCCCTGCTTGCGGCCATGCCTCGCGTGCAGGGGGAGGGGCGAACCCCTCCACGGAGGGGAAGAGCACTGGGAACGATAGGGGGCCACATGCGAACCGTACCCCTACCCCCCACGCTTTCTGAGGGGGAGGGTGGGGTTATGGCTCGCTTGCAGGGGGAGGGGCGAACCCCTCCACGAAGGGGAAGAACACCGGGAACGACGACAGCGAGAGAGAGAGAGAGAGGGAGCTGCTGCGCCTCCAGGCCCCGGAGGGCCGCTGGGATTCTTCCACAGCTTCAACGCCAGGAACAGCCTCCGCTACTACAGGTCGGGCGGGGCTGAGACACGGATACTACAGGGCGTAGGTCGTCGTCGTCGTCGTCGTCGTCGTCGTCGTCGTCGTCGTCGTCGTCGTCGTGGTCGTCGTCGTCGTCGTCGTCGTCGTCGTCGTCGTCGTCGTCGTCGTCGTCGTCGTCGTCGTCGTCGTCGTCGTCGTCCCCCCCTGCGGCGCGGTGCCAAAGAGGGGGGCCAGGGGCAGCAGAGGCGGTGGCGCTGGGCGCCGCCGCCCTGCGGTGCGCTCCCAGACGCAGGAGGAGGGGGGGGGGTCGGGCGTGGCTAGGACGAGGACCGATCCGCTCCAGAGCGTTCCGGAGCGCTCTCAGAGCGCTCCAGAAGGCGGTGAGAAGGCTGCCGCGAACGAGCGAACGAACGAAGCCGCGCCCTAACGGCGCACTAGCATTTTTTTTGTCGGCCCTCCCTTTTTTTTTTTTGTTTTTGTTTTTTCTCTCAAAAAAAAAAATCCGGCCCTCCCGCCCCCAGGAGGCCCCAGGAGGCCTCAGGAAACGAGTCGAGCGAGCGAAGGAAGAAGCGAAGGCCGCCGCGCTCGATACCTATTCCAGAGCCGCTGGATCTCGGACATTCTCCCCCTCCTCCTCCTCCTCCTCCTCCTCCTCCTCCTCCTCCTCCTCCTCCTCCTCCCTCCTCCCTCCTCCTCCTCCTCCTCCTCCTCCTCCTCCTCCTCCTCCTCCTCCTCCTCCTCCTCCTCCTCCTCCTCCCCCTCCCCCTCCTCCTCCTCCTCCGCCTCCTCCTCCTCCTCCTCCTCCACATTCCCGATTTATCTCCCCGTCCGATGTTGCCCCCGCCGCGGCTTCGGCTCGAGAGGAGAGGCTTCTTCTCATCCCCTGGCGATGGCGTGCGGGGGGGTGGGGGGGTCGGCCGGTGACGTCACGATTCGCGATGGTCGGGAGCCTCGAGACGGGGGTCAGTGCAAACGGGGGTCAGCCAGAGCGCCAGGTCCTGCAGGATCCTGCGAAGACCCCCTCTGGCTGACCCGGGTCAGGGAGCCGCTCGTGGCCGCGAGGCGGCCGCACATATTGGCTGACCCGGGTTTGCGAAGACCTGGGTTGCAGCTTTTTTTTCCTGCATTGCAGTTTTTGGTTTCCCGCTGACCCGGGTCTGGATTGACCCGGGTCAGAAGATCCCCGAGATGGCCAACTCCCAGGCGGCGCCAGCGCGAATCGTGATGGGCCATACTCGGTAGGGGAGAAAACAAGCAGACACGAGGAACCGTCGATTCCCAGGAAGAGAGGGGAGACTAGGGTACGTGGGGGGGAAGACGGAAACACATAAAGATGAGAAACATAAGGACTCCTCGGATTTGTGTGTGTGTGTGTGTTTATTCTCTTGCACAGCTGTGTTCTAGAGCTTGGATCTCTTTCTTTTCGTCGTCGTCGTTCGTTCGTTCGTTCGTCGTTCGTCCTCCCCCCTACCCCCCGGGCCACGGAAGGAATCTCCTGGAGGAAGGAGGCGAAAGCCTCCTGTCCCTCGCAGCTCCTTGGTGCAAGAGCCAGGGCACGCGTGCCACTTGTTCGTGTGTCCCTGGGCCCCAGGCCCCTCCTTCTGCCTTCCCCCCTCTGTTAATGAAAGTTGTGCGCGGCCCGCTTAGCTTCGACAGGAAGAGGTGCGCTCTCGGCCCGCGGATCAAAAAAAGTGTCCCTGGGCCCCTGTACATGCGTCAAACGTCTGGAGCTCCGCGCGGATTTTTCTTGGGTCTGTGCCGGACCCTCTCGGGGGGGGCGCCTCCCGCTCCGCACCTTGGGCGCGCCCCGCGCGCCCGGGGATGGGAGGGCCCAGCGCAGTCCTTGGGAACTCCGCGCGGGCCGTCGAACGAGTGCCGCCCCCTCGAAGGGGTGGCCCATGCCAAGAGGCGCCCCGCCTGCCTCCAGGGTGCCCTGGGTGTCCTGGGCTTCGGTGGCTTTGCGATGGTGGAGGGCGTGGTGGTTCCCCCCCCCCACGCCCAAACTCAGGGGACGTCCTGGGGTCTCAGGGTCGGGTTTCCGGCGGAAGGTCTCTCGTGGGCGGGCCCCTTGCTGCAAGGGGTGCGGGGGAGGGCGGGGCGGGCCGCCCTCGCGAAGGAGGGAGAGGTGGGCTCCAGGCGAGCGGCGCAGCACAACGGGGCCGCCTGCGCCGGCCCTCGCGCGCAAGCTGCCCCTCGCGAGGCCGCGCAACACGTAAGGCGCCCTCGCCTCCAGTGCTGCGGCGCGCCGCGCCCACGGCCCGCGTCAGGAAGCCGCCGCGCGAGGCCGCTGTGACGCCCTGCGCGAGACTCCTTTCTTTGTTCGTCGCTCAGGTGCGGTGCTCCCGCGCCCTCGGCGCTGCCTCGCCGTCGCGAGCTGGAGTCCCTGGAGGAGGCGCTGCTGCTCTTCGGCCCCGGCGCGCGCGCCGTGAGCGCGGAGGAGCTGCTCCAGCTGCACGGTTGCTGGCAGGGCCTCCCCGCGCAGGCGGCTGGCCCCAGCGAAGGTCGCAGTGCAAGCGGGTCCGGAGAATTCTCCTCGCCTTCACTCTCAATGCCCTTGGTTCCCGACCCTCGATGCCCTCGATTCTCGACCCTCGACCCTCGATCCTCGACCCCCGATATCCTCGATCCTTGATGCTCGATGCCCTCGACCCTCGATATCCGATCCTCGATCCTTCTCCTCGGCACTTCTCCCTGCTTCGACTGCTCGTTCTGCCGGTCGCGCTGGTGCTGCTGCTGCCGCGCGGTGACCTCGAAATCCTAAGAGACCTCACCGCGCGGTCCGTCACCGCACGGCCTTAGGACCTCGAAGGCCCCAGTCGCCCTGGGCGTCCTGATAGAAAGACCCGAGTCCCAGATCCGTGCGGTGCCCCCGAATTTCTACTAACTCACTACGCGGTGTGGTCACCACACCGTTTGGGGGGTCCTCGAGGGAAGCGGATCATAAGACTTTTCGACGTCTTTGAGCCCTCGGGGCCATCCACGGGCCCTGGGGCCGTCTTGAAGCCCATGTGTCATAGCACTGGGCCGCTATCAGCCAAAAAGGCATGCAACCGAAAGAGTGTAACCCAAAACGAGCTCGAAAGTGTGACCGAACATGTAGTGGGACAGAACTTGTAACCCACACTGAACTACGTGCTGTCCTAGAACCAAACATGTCGGTCGCACTCGGGCGCGGTCGGAACATCTCGGGGCGCCAGTTTCGGTCACACTCGGGCAGATTTCTGGGCACAGTTTCGGCCCCCCCCCCCCCCTGGTAGAGACGCGGCCGCGTAAGTGCTGCGCACCCTTGAGATCGCAGGGCTCGAGCTGAACGGTGTTTTCGTTTAGGTTCCGTTCTGCGAGGGAGCCCGAGAGCGAATCGAGAGCGAATCGAAAACGGAGAACGCCGCTCAGCTCGAGCCCCTCCTGGGTGTACGCCCCACGGCAAGGGGCCGTGCGGGGCATCCGAGCCGCACGGTGGCCGACGAGCCCACTCGTGGTGGTGTCTGACAGCACGACTGCTGCAGTGCTGTGACTGCTCCTGGCTCTCGGAGCTGGCTGAGGGCAGTGGTCCAGACCTCCTCCTTCTCCTCCTCCTCCTCCTCCTCCTCCTCCTCCTCCTCCTCCTTACCAGCCGGCGAGGGTTCTGGCGAGCAGGAAGGGGGGCGCGGTCCGAGGCGGTGGGTTCGAAAAGGTTCTCTCTGCCTTTCCTGCCCCCGGGGGCCCTTCAGGGGCTCCGGGGCCGTCCCAAACGGAGTTGGCCAGAAAAGCTGCACCTCCTCCCCTCCCCCTCCTCCTCCCCTCCTCCTCCTCCTCCTCCTCCTCCTCCTCCTCCTCCTCCTCCTCTCCTCTCCTCCTCCTCCTCCTCCTCCTCCTCCTCCTCCTCCTCCTCCTCCTCCTCCTCCTCCTCCTCCTGCTCCTCCCCTATCCGAGTCCCAAACGGAGTTGGCGAGAAAGGCTGCACCGGATGGATGCCCGGAGGGGTGCGGGGATTGATTCTGAGCAGATTTGGCTTCACCCCCCCCCCCTCTTGGTCTTTTTCCTTGGGGCCCGCCCAGGCCGCCTCTCACATGGCCTCCACCTCGTCGTGTGAGCAGGGTCCTTCGGGAGGGTCCCCTGGGGTCGCCGGCTCCCCCTGAGATCTGCGGTTGCCAAAACGTTGCAGCACTGCGAGAAATCACGAACGGAGCCCCAGACCCCATCTTTTTGCATCATCTATCTGAGTCCAAACTCCTCCTCCTCCCCCTCCCCCTCCTCCCCTCCCCTCCTCCCCTCCTCCTCCTCCTCCTCCTCCTCCTCCTCCTCCTCCTCCCCTCCTCCTCCCCCTCCCCCTCCTCCTCCTCCTCCTCCTCCTCCTCCTCCTCCTCCTCCTCCTCCTCCTCCTCCTGCTCCTCCCCCTATCCGAGTCCAAACATGCTACGGTGCAGGGGCGCCGTTCTCGTATTTGCAGGGGAGGTGAGCCCGAAGTGGCCCTGAAAACGGTCTCTAGACTGCCACCGCGGGCAGAAGAGGTGCACGAAAGGTATTTTTCGCTCACGAGGAGGAGGAGGAGGAGGAGGAGGAGGAGGAGGAGGAGGAGGAGGAGGAGGAGGAGGAGGAGGAGGAGGAGGAGGAGGAGGAGGAGGAGGAGGAGCTGTTCCTCGAGATTCGACGTTGAGAAGGGGCCGCAACCTCGCGACCAAGCGCGCCCGGAGCCCCAGGGCCCACCCGTCTGCGGCATTTTTCGAGCCGGAGCGATCCGCAGGGGTCTAGGGCCCTCAACACGGCGAGAACGGCCGTTGTGGAAAATGCGCGCTTTCTGGGTCCGAGGGCCGTGCCAAGACACGGTGCATTTCGATCCGTTCGATCCGAGTCGATGTCGACTCCGGCCGGCCCGATCCGCTTCGATTCTGGTACCTCGCCGATGGGATGCGGCCCGCTGTCTGCATGGCGTTGTTGTGCGTCCTGGCGCAGCCGGTCCGATTCGTTTTCGATTCCGTGCCGGTGCAGGCCGATCCGATGCACATGCCGACTCGATCCGATTTGTCGATTCGATCCGGACTGATCTTGTGCCAAGTCCCAGGCCCCCGACGTCATGACTTTTTCATAGCTTCGGCCCCCAGAGGTCTCGACCCATTTTCTGGGACTCGCTTTTTATCCGGGGCAGGTTTTTGACGGCCCCGATGTCCAGGAAGGGCCCCCAGAGGCCGAAAATAGCAACAACAAAAAACGCTCGTCGTGATTTTTGTTCCATGGCTCGAGGGGGCCTGGGGTTCGAGTAGCTGTGCCTTGCCAATTCGGAGGTGGATAGACCTCCTGCCCTGACACGTCGACTGGTGAATTGGCCGCTTTCGGTTCGCGATAGGGCGCCGCGGCCTTTCTTTTTGCGGGTCTAGGTCCGTCGGTTTCGGTTTCGGGCCGTTTTCACTAAAAAGGGAGGTTTACTAAAGGGAGGTGTGTCCACCGCCGACCACTGGGCGCTGCGTGGTCCCGAGCCTCCGAAGGCCTGCGGAGCGGGGACCGCGTGCGCCTCCGGGAGGCGGGCGGCGCGCGGCTGCTCGCGCTGGGCAGCGGCCGGCAGCTCCGGCCCGCGGCGTCGACGGCGGAGGCCGTGGCCGTGGTCCTCACCAGCTTGGAACAGATCCTTATCCCTACGATTTCAGAGGAGGAAAGCGTACCCCTACCGCTACCCTTCCTTCGTTCTTTCTTCCCTCTCGGGGCCTCGGGGAAGGCTCAAGAAGCTTCTCAGAAGGCCGGGGGATTTCCAAGCCTTCTGAGAAGTCCCGCCCCTTCTCACTTCCCCCCATCGCTCGCCGCCGATAAGAACGTCACCGCACCAATCTTAGGGGTAGGGATGAGGTCGAGGCTGGTTGCAGGTCCTGGAGCGCAGCGGCGGGCCCGGCCTGGCGCGCCCGGGGGACGAGGTTCGGGCGGACCTCAGACCCCCTCCTCCTCCTCCTTCTCCTCCTCCTCCTCCTCCTCCTCCTCTACTACTACTACTACTACTGCTACTACTACTACTACTACTACTACTACTACTACTACTACTACTACTACTACTACTACTACTACTACTACTACTACTACTACTACTACTACTACTACTACTACTACTACTACTACTACTACTACTACTACTACTACTACTACTACTACTACTACTACTACTACTACTACTACTACTACTACTACTACTACTACTACTACTACTACTACTAACTACTACTACTACTACTACTACTACTACTACTACTACTACTACTACTACTACTACTACTACTACTACTACTACTACTACTACTACTACTACTACTACTACTACTACTACTACTACTACTACTACTACTACTACTACTACTACTACTACTACCCCTCCTCCTCCTCCTCCTCCTCCTCCTCCTCCTCCTCTTTATCCTCCTCCTCCTCCTGCTCCATTCCTTCTTCTTATAAGCGACATACCCCTGTCGCACGCCGAGACCAGTCGAAAGGGCGGGCCGGGCGTTTCGCCTCAGACTTCCTTGCCATTTATGACCCTGAAACTTAAACATTGGCAACAGTTTCACGGCTGGAGGGCGGGTCGTTTCGAAACTGTGGCTCTCGCCTTAGCGCCGCGCGCATTCGTTTTTTAGTTTATCCATCTGATTCTTTCAAATTGTAAGTGTTTCACATATTGAGGGCGGTTCGTTTTCAAAATGTGGCTTTCGCCTTAACGCTGGGTGCATTCGTTTTACAGATTCTCATGGTTAACGTACCAGAAATGGTATTTGGGAGCGATTCGGGGCTGTCAGGGCGCAACAGTTTATACGTTGATTCGCGGCGTTGGGTTCCCAGGAATGGTGGTCTGGCACGATTCAGGATCGTCAAGACGCGACAGTCAGGTTTATCCGTGGCGTTTGGAGTCCCGAGAAAAATGTTTTGGCATGCTTCAGGGTCTTCAAATGGTTGTCTTCCAACGATGCAGTTCCCTCTGTGGAAATGAACCCTTGTGGGGGCCTATGAAGAGGGAGCTTGGAGGGAGGGTTTATGCCAACATCGTGGATGACTTTTGGGTTTGCACGGGGCCTCCTCCTCCTCCTCCTCCTCCTCATCCTCCTCCCCCTCCTCCCCCTCCTCCTCCTCCTCCTCCTCCTCCTCCTCCTCCTCCTCCTCCTCCTCCTGAGGTGCGAGTCATGTCAAAAAGCACGGCGGGAGCTTTTTTTTGCTATCTTCGGCCTCCGGGGGCATCTCCTGGGGCCGCGGGGCCGTCGTCAGGGAGCCATCTCGGATGAAGATCCGGTCCCGTGGAAGGGGCCGAGACCTTTGAAGTTCGACGCTGTGGAAAGTCCTGACGTCGACACGGCAGCCGGGCCCCGAGAGCCTGGCGGCTCGGCCTTGTCGAGCCAGGCGTCTTCGCCCGGGTGCGGGCCCCAGAACCCTCACAGGTCGAGCTGGCTCGAAGCATTTGCGCAGAAGGGTGGGGCCCTGGTCTCCGGTCGTGATCCCTCGCGATGTCGCAATCGCAACGTCGGATGTCGGGGATTGCAGGAGAGTGGCCCTCAGGTGCCCCCAAGGCGGCCCCCAGACAGTCGGCCCGGATGGGGAGGTCGACCCTGCCAACTCAAGGGTACCTTTTGTGTCCCGTGTCTCGCGCCCCGTGCCTGCTGCATTCCTATGGCACGCTCCTTGACCCCACGTCTCTTCCCTGGAGGCGGCCTGTTTGCACCAGGGCCGCTTTGGCGTCTACCGAGGCGTCGTCGATCTTCGACCCAGGAACGGGGGTGCTGCGCCTCGTGCCTCGGCCCCTCGGGGCCGCCAGGGCGTGCACCGTGCGGCGCTGGAGCGGGGCCCTCCGGGGAGCCGAAGCACGGTGCGGTGCAGGGGCGCCGTTGTCATGTTGCAGGGAAGTGGTCTTTGAAGTGGCCCCGACGGGCCCCTGAACTGCCACGCCGCGGGACGAGAGGTGCGCGCTTCTGCGTCCCGCGTTCCTTGCCCCCCCGCTCCCGGAGATGCGACGTTGCGACGCAATCCGCGGCATCGCCAAAAATCACGACTGGAGCCCCAGGCTTCCTCTTTCTGCGACATGTCTCGGGGCGGAGCGATCTGAGGGTCCCAGGGCCCGACACCAGGCGAGAACGCCCAAGTGGAGTGCACCCGCGAAGCGGTGACGCCGTCGGGGCCCACAGCCGGCGCACGACGTTCCCCGTCCCGCCGCCCATACGGGCACGCGGCGCCTGAGGACGCTGCCACGAGGCCCGGGATGGCCGAAGCCGCCAAGACCCCGCCGCGAGCCTGCGGAAGCTTCCTGCCCTCAAGAAGCCCTGGCGTGCTCGTGGGTCATGAGACATTGCGGCGCCTGCACCTCGGGGTGAGCGTGCCCCTTGGGCGTCGCGTGGTGGTGGGGGGGGGGCAGCGAGGGCCCCAGAGAAGGGGCCCCCTCGGGCCCCTGAGTAGGGGCCCTCGCGGGCCCGAGAGGGGGCCCCTGGGGCCCGAAAAGTGCACCTCTCTTCCCCCCCCCCACGCATCGCCCCCCGCACGTTCAGCGACGCCCCGGCCCCCCGAGAGGTCTTCCTGCGGGCCCCCGACGGCACGCACCTGGCGGCGCGCGCGCTCGCCGGCGGGCGCTGCGTGGTGGACGCCCCGCTCGCCAGCGGGCGCTACTGCGCCGAGCGGGCCTGGCGCCTGCAGGCGGCCGCGGGCGCTGCCGCGGGCGGCGGCTCTGGCGCCTCGGGCACCGCGGAGCTCGGAGGGCACCGGCCCTACGCCGACGGCGGCCCTGGCCAGGCCGATCCCGGGCCCAGGCTCGGCGTATATCAGGAGGGGCCAAACACACAGACAGAATGAATCGTCGACCCCCAGGAAAATATGGGAGAATATGGGAAGTGGGGGGGAGAACGAAAAACCAGAAGACAAGTGGCACGTGTGCCATGGCTCTCGCACAGAAAGGAAGGGGGAGGAGAAGGCGGTGGATGAGGAGGGGGGAAGAGGGGGCAAGACATCGCCCCTCGGGGCCCAGTAACGGGGCCCAAATCCCAGGTGGGGAGGGGGGGGGAGTGAGGTGGTGTGCGTCGCGACGCGGAAGAAGGTGCTCGGAGCGGAGGGGGCACGGGGCGGAGGCCCCACTGGGGCGCTGGGGGCGCGGAGTGTGCGTCGCGACGCGGAATAAAATGGTCGGGGGCGAGGGGGCACTGGGCGGGGCTTGGGGCAGAGGGCCACGGGGCGGGGGTCCAACTGGGGCGCTGGGGAAGGGGGGGGAGGGGGAGGTGCGTGCGTCGCGACGCGGAATAAAATTGTCGGGGCGGAGGGGGCACGGGGCGGAGCCCCCACTGGGGCGCTGGGGACGCGGGGAGGGAGGAGGAGGTGGTGTGCGTCGCGACGCGGAATAAAGCGTTCGTGGCGGAGGGGGCAGTGGGCGGGGCTCCCGCTGGGGCGCTGGGGACGCGGGGGGGCTCGGGGCAGAGAGCCACGGCGCGGGGGTCCCACTCTGGCGCTGGGGACGCGGGGGGGGGGTGCGACGCGGAATAAAGCGTTCGTGGCGGAGGGGGCAGTGGGCGGGCTGAGGCGCTGGGGACGCGGGGGAGCGAGCCACGGCGCGGGGGTCCCACTGGCGCTGGGGACGCGGGGGCGGGGGTGCGACGCGGAAGAAAGTGGTCGGAGCTCTAGACGCCCTGAGCAAGAGAATATGGGGAAATATGGGGAATCTTGTTATTCGTGCGTATGTATTTGTGTGTCCCTAGGCCCCTTCAGTATAAGGAGGAGGAGGAGGAGGAGGAGGAGGAGGAGGAGGAGGAGGAGGAGGAGGAGGAGGAGGAGGAGGAGGAGGAGGAGGAGGAGATGGCGGCACCGCTGCTCGTCGTGGAGAATCCTCGTCGCCACGGCCGGAAGTTCTCCTCGAAGTGCTGGTCGTGGTGCGCCCCAGGCAGGAGAGGCCCAGGGAGCAGCAGCACCGGTAGCCGCCCCCCCCGTGTATGCTGGCGTGTGCACCGATCCTGGGCCCAGGAGGAGCCCGGTGAGGGTCGGCGCAGGGGCACGGTCAACCCGCATAGTGCGGATGAGCAGCTTTCCAGGGTTCCCCTGGCATCCTTCCCATTCGGCCCACCCTGGGCCGCTGCTGCTGGCCGCGCCCCGCTCGCAAAGTGTCGAGCTGGCCTTCCACGGCCCTTGCATTCGTATCGTGCGTGCTTGTTATGCGTGTTGACTGTGGTTTCGGTTGCAGTGGGTGCGCTGAAGAAGGGGCCCTGTTCGTTTGAAAGGGGCTCCGTGTTCCTCAGTTGTTTTGCAGTCTACCTCAGGTTCTCCTCTGGTTTTCGATATGGAAATCGGCGCTTCACTTATGGAGGACAGGGGCCTCGTTCCATATTTATGGTTCCTTAGGTCGACGCCCCAGCCGCAGGAGTGGCCTCTCGCCAGAGTGACGTGTGGTGCGGGCCCACATGGGGTCCCCACCTGCACCCGGCCCGGCGCGCGGCCGGCCTTGGCGCCCCCGCGGCTCCCAAGGAGCCGCGCACGGAGGACGACTCTTGCCCGGGGCCAGCCTGGTGTTGTGCACGCGTGTGTGTGTGTGTGTGTGTGTGTGTGTGTGTGTGCGTGTGTGTGCGTGTGTGCGTGTGTGTGTGTGTGTGGCTGTGTCCTCGTCGCGCGTTGGGGGAGACTGCCCTCCTGAGGGGCAGCGGATCTCCTGATGTTCTCTCTGGACGGGGGGCAAGACAAGGCCGCTCTTGCCCCCGGGCCACTTCTTGCGTGTAGCCCATCGTCGGCGTCCTCCCAGGAGCAGGCCCTGGGGCTGCAGCCCTGCCGCGGCGAGCTCGCGGGCGGCACCCTGCAGTTCTCCCGCGACGGGCGGCTGGCGTGCGCCCCGCCGGCGCCGCGCGGTGGCGGGCAGCCCGTGGTGCTCGAGGCGGACCTGCGCGGGCACGAGGCGCTGGAGCGGGTGCGGCACGAGGTCTTCAGACGCGATGGGCAAATATTCCACCACCACCACATGTAGGATGGAGGAGAAGGGAGGATGAGGAGGTCCTCCTCCTCCTCCTCCTCCTCCTCCTCCTCCTCAGCGCCGAGGAGAGCACCAAGTACCTGGGTCGCAAGCTGACGTTGCACGACTTCCACCATACCGAGCTCACCAACAGACTTGCAATGGGGTGGCGCAAATTCAACCAGTTCCGCAACGAGCTCACAAACAGCCGGTACCACCTTCGCAGCAGACTCAGGCTCTTCAGAGGGACGGTGACGCCAACGGTCACGTATGGCTGCGCAACGTGGACTCTCACCAAAGGCATGCTCCTGACACTCCGACGCACCCAACGACGCATGTTACGACGCATTGTCAATACCTCGAGGCGTCGACAGAGACAACCCCACAACAGCACCGACGAAAACACAACCAACCCCGACACTGACAGCATGACGACAGCACAAGGAACGACAGCAAGTCCAGCGTCAGACAGCACCTAGACTTTGACGACGTCGACGACGAATCCGACCTTGAGTCCTGGGACAATGTCATTCGCAGGTCTACTCACGCCGCCTCAGACATTGCGACGCGCGCACATGTGGAGGAATGGGTTACAATATTTCACAAGCGTAAATGGAGATGGGCTGGGCGAGTTGTTGCACAACCACGCCACAATTGGGCCCGACTGGCGGCGGCAAGGGGACCTGATATCCATGACCCCCAGGCAGCACGACGCCGACAAGGCGGGCAGCGAAAACGGTGGAGTGACGACATCACAGAATTTCTACAGAAGGCTTTGGTTGGAAGCACACCCGGCACATGGCTACAGAGTGCTACAACTTCCAAAGTCTGGGCAGACCTCGAAGGCGACTTCTTGAAGTTCACATGCCTGTGACTGGGCTCCGGCCCGCCCGCGCCGCCCCGAAGGGGCCTGCCGGCCCGCCGGCCGGCGGACTCGCGCGTCTGCGTCTGCGTCTGCGTCCTCCTCCTCCTCTTCCTCCTCCTCCTTCTCCTTGTCCTCACTCTCCTACCTGTGGTACTTGTGGTGGAAAATGGGCCCATCAAGACGGGGGCTCGGTGTGTGCGGTTAGGAACTTGAGCGAACAGTCGGAGGAGGACAAGTTCGGCCGAAGACGGCGGGAGGTTTTTCGCCGTCTTCGTCCGCCTTGGGATGATCTCCGGCGGCTGCGCCTCGTCGAGGGCAGTCGCGGGGTGCCTGGATAGTTCCGAACGGCCACCAGAGAGCCGAGGTATGGCCCGAAAACCCAGGCACTAGGCGCTGGAGCGGGTTCGGCAGGATGTCATCAGAGGGGGCTCGGTCTACACGGTCAGGAATTCTGGCGCATCTCTAGGCCTCCTTGATAGGGTTCCGAGCAGATGGCGATCGGAGGACCGCGTCGCACCGCCGATACATCGCCGATGCATCGCCGATACGTCTCGATGTGGAGTCGATTTTCCCCGCGCTGGCGTTGCCGATGGATCGCTGACGTCGCCGATGCATCCTCGATACATCGCCGATGCATCGGCGATGCGGCACGATCTTCCGACCCCATCTACTCCGACCTAGTCTATGAGGAGGCCTCTACTTCGTGTGTCTCTCGGCTGGGTTCTTCGAGGAAGAAGCTGACATAAACACATAAACATCAATTTTGGGGGATCCGCACGGAGTTCTTGGATCGGCGCTGAGCCCCCCTGGCGGCGTCTCTGGCGCCGCGCCTTGCGCGCTCTGCGCGCCAGAGAGGGGGCCAGTACCCGTCCAAAAAATCCGCACGGACCGCCGAAAAGTTAGGTATGTGTCATTAGTTGGTCATCCTGTGTTCCTCGAGTTCTGGCCTTCCACGCCCTGGCGCGACACGCTATCCACCTCTCCACTTCCAAGCGTCAGCTTCCCGAGCTGCAGCTCCCAGCCTCCCGCCCAGCGGAGCGGAGCGACACTCTATCCGCTTACAAAGGAACGCGTGTCGCCGGGGCCGCCGCCGCGACACGCCAAGCAAAAGTTCCCAACTAGGGACCGGTCAAAGACCAGTGCCATGGAAGACTCGGGTTCGCCGAAGCTCGGGTTTGCCGATGCTTTTTGGTGGGCCCGGCCTGAACCTCGGCGGTCCAGTTTTCGTGGGATGTGAGGCTCGCGCCACATTTCAGGCGATGTGAGAGCGCAGATGCACCGCCTTCGCTCGCCGAGTTCATGTGCTCCTATCGGGGAAACGTGAGACTCGGGTTCGGGGGACTCTGGTGCAGAGGCTGGGGCGCCTGTGGGGCCTCTTTCAGGAGGGACGAAAACACACAGACACAATTAATCGTCGATTCCCCAGAAAATATTGGAAAATCTGGGAAGTGGGGGGGAAGACAGAAACCCAGAAAATATGGGACAATATGGGGGTTCCGGTTATTTGTGTATATTTATTTGTGTGTCCCAGGGCCCCGTCACTTTTGGCCGACAGACGACGCGTGCATGCTTCGATGCCCTGCCAGGTCTGGGAGGCCCTCCAGGAGGGGCTGCGCACGGGGCGGCTGGTGCAGGACGCCGGCTCCCAGGCGTGGCCGCGCCGTCGCAGCAATCGCTTGGGCGGCCCTACCGGGGGCCCCGGGAGCCATAGCCTTGGGCAGCAGGCGTTCGGATGCTTGCCGCGAGGTGGAAGGGCGCCCCGTGATAGTTTAGGCAGCTCTCGTGTCGCTGGCGATGCGGTGCAATGACAAGCCGGCCCCGGGAGAGGGGACGGAATCTCTGGGGTCCACGTTGGGAGACGATCACGACGTTGGATGTCTGGGTCCACTTCGGCCCGATCGATGCAGCTCGATGCCGCTCCAGCCGGTATCGGTCCGATTCGGCTCCGGTGGCTCCTGCGCGGCCAGGTGCGTGCACGGCGCGGTGGTGCATCCTGGTGCATCCTGGTGCGGATGTAGAGGGCCCCCCCTCCCGCGGCGCCGCAGGGCCGGCGAGCACGCTTGAGCATGGAATCGTATCACCCCCCCAAACATCGAGAATGAAGCCAGATCGCCCTGAGAGCATTCCTGAACTCCCTCGAAACGTTCCAGAGCGCTGCGCAACGCCCGCGGCGCCCGAAACATTCGGGGGCGTCCAAGATGGGCGTAATGACTGGGTTGTGTGTGTGTGTGTGTGTGGATTTCGTGGCTGGTGCCACTCCAGTCTTTACTTGCCTCGTCTTTTTCTTACAACATATCTCATTGCCCCCTCCCCCTCTTCTGCGCACGCACATGCCTCGGGCCACGATGCGCTCACACCCCTATCACAGGCCCCCGTTCCGCGACCTTCGGCGGTGAGATCGAGCTACCGCCTGCACACAGAAGTAATGCAGCAGCATGGCCGTGAAAGACACGGAAGACAAGTTGGCTCCTCGGCGGCTGCAAGCAGCGGAAGTTAAGCAGAGTTTGGCGGCGGCGGCGGAGCAGCGAGGAGCTCTGCAACAGGGAAACTCTTGCCAAAGCAACGCTTGCAAGAGGGATCGATCCCTTTCTTCAATAAGGACAACGACTTCGCAGCGTGCTTGCTACGCAGGCCGCCGAAACACTCGGTTCTGAGATGGACCATGCAGTCGGCCGCATATTCACCGCAACGTGAACACCAGACAATTTGGACCTACTCCAACACACAGCCTGTGGGAAGGGGTGTGCGCTGCGAGCGCTCCCCGGGATCTCTCGGCGTCGCGCGGCGCAGATAGTTGACTTAGATCGGCCGATGTCCCCACACCTGGCACAAACCTGCCCCTTGCCAGTTCCAAGAAGCTGGTGCCCCCGAGGATCTTGCGCCAACTCGAGATAGGGCTTGGGCCTACCTGCATGCTTGGTCCTCGATGCATCCGGGAGTTCAGATCTGCCTGCCTGCCCAGAACACCTGTCATAACCATCGCCGCCCGAAGGACCCTCTCAGAGACAGCTCTGCAGCGGCTCATGTCATGCGGGAGATCAGCGCTTGGCATTGGGCGCCGAGCTTCGCCGCACGGTCTGCCTCGCGCCTTTGCCGACCCAGGCCCAGTGCGGAACATCTTGGTAAAAATCGCCGCCGTGCGGCTGCGGTGACAACAAAGATGGCCCCGACTGCTGTATCCAGAGCAGACCTGATAAGATCATGTCGTCGTTTTCTGGTTCATTGTTTTGCCAATCGGCGCGGGCCCTCGCACCACCCCATCCCCCCCCATGGAGTAGATCTTGGCTGTTTTTGGCGCCTGTTTCGAGCAGGTGGAGTCCCTCCCCCAAAAGGACGCACTGTTGCAGACAGTCGCATCAAGCACAGGTCGGGAGCCAGGCCCCCCCCCCCACCCGCCCAAAGCCGAAATGTCGAATAAGAGAACGTTGACCATGCCAAACTTCACTGAAGCAAACGTCGGACACATCTTGACACGGACCTTTGGACCAGATATCCCAAACCAATTTGCAGTCTGTCGCGACTGTGGTCGGCCTGGGAGCCCCCAAAACGGAGCGCCATTTACAGAGCAAACACCTCGCCGCATCCAGACATTTGGAGTGGGTGAGGGAGTGGACAGTACAGCGATCCCGACATGTTGCCCCCTTCGCCGAAGCCGGCAACCGCATACCCAGCTTTGGAAAACGCAATCAGGTCGGGATCCAGAGTCGAATCGTTCAGACAAACGTACCCAGTGTCCGGGACCCCGTATCTCGGATAGAGGCTCCAATTGGGTTCCGCTTTGAGGTAGGGCTTTGGTTATTACGTCCAGTCTGAACTGGCAGTCAGGCATCTGGTCATGGCCAGATCGTGATCTTGGCCTGCACGGCCATCCGCAACAATATCATCTAGATCCAAAGCTCGTCTCATCAACTCTGTGCCGTCCCACGCGTAGAAGCGGTGCTTCTTATTGCCTGTGGCCTGCAAGCACCACTGGCATCTCTGGTCGTCAAAAAACATTTGCTGCGTCGGGAAAACTCCAGCGACAGCTGAGACAAGCCGACTGATGCACCTTGGCCCAGGGTCGTCAACTCCTACAGGTACTTGATTAAGGGCTGCGGACAGGGACCTCTAGAGAGCCCGTTGACGGTGCCTTCTGGGCCCCTAAGTCTTTGAGAGAGGAGCCTCTGGGTGCAGGTGTTCAGAATCATTCTGAAACTTGTCTTGCCGTACTCCCTTGGTTTGATGGGGATGCCATCGTTGGTAATCCGCGAATACCAAGCGTTGAGCCCCCAGCGAAGCCTCCTTAGCGTACAGACTACAGCACCTGCAGGTCCGCGAACCTGCTGCCAGCTAGCGTCCTCCATCTGCGTGAAGGCTTCAAACGTAGATCTCATGATCTGCACCGGTACCCATCCCTGCTGCAATGCCCATATCCAGGAAGCAACAGGTCCAGAATTTGCCATGTAATCCAGGTCCACCGCCAGCTCGGGTCCCAAGAGAAACTCTAAAGTACGTGAGCGGCCTTTCGGGGTTCCATGCAGCGCCTGGCCCAGTCGGGCCCTCAAATCTTAGACTCGCTTATCTGACATGCTGACGCTTGTGGTTCATACAGTGCAGTTGGGAGGGCTTCTACTTTCACCACCTTTGCAGCACTTTTAACTCTTATAGATGCAAGCGCGGGCGCAGCTTTATAAACTTGGAGGACTTCTGCACCTTCGTGGCTCTGGCCCTGCGCTCGAGCGTTAAATAAATTCCCAGATTCTGGGCCGACTTCCTAATGACAAAGTCAATATTGCCAAGTTTTTGCTCCGAATGACTCCAGCTACCTCTTGATTCAATGACACTGTGATCCCCTTCTCCCGTGACACGACGAGCAGCTGCCTCTCCGACTGGATACAGACACACCTGGCCGCCGAGCCTGAAAGAGTGCTCAGCTTACGCTTCGCTGCCGAGGCGCAAAGAGTCAACCCATCAACAGCGTTGAACATGTATGCGGTGGGCCAATGCACGTGTGCCGCGGCACATGGGACCGTCAAGATCAGCCTCATAAGCGATGTGGCCCACTAGCATCCTGCTATGATGCCCTGCTCCGCTGTGGTACGCACCGAAGCCATCGAAGCTGACTGCAAACGACGTGGGCATACATACTGCTTCAAAAGACTACGTAAACGATCTAATGGAAAATTCTGCCTGACAGCCGCCATCACCAGCAAGTAACGCAAACATCTCTCACATGCTTTCGTGAGATCGATTAGCACCGCTGCCGACGGGATATCGTTGTTCGCCGTGTGTTCCCCCATGATCGCTTGCTCCCACACCGCTATTTCGCAACCGTTTCCTCTCGATCCATAGTGATACCTTCTAGCCTCTCTTGTCTCCCACCTGTCCACCTCTCATGCATGCGGGATCTCCTCTGCAGTTCTGACGACAGGGAAGAACCTTCACGTCCGTCGTGAGCTTGCTTCTGGATCTGGAACTCTAGCTCCCCAGAGGGTTTGGATACTTCTTCTTTGCTTCCGCTGCAGGTTTCCAAGTCCCTTTCCAAACATCCTCACCTCCTCCTGCTCCTTCATCATCTGGCCTGGGTCTTGAGGAGCTTCTCCTGGGCTGATCGATGCACGTGTGTGCTGGTGAGCCTGGCCGGCTCATGCCTTGACTGATTCAGCAGTCCAGCTCCTCTATTGAGCCCCTCTCAGAGAACACAAACGGTTCTCAAGTATTGCCCTGGTTCATGCTGCGCGCGCAGTCCCTGAGCAGAACTTTCTAGCACATCTTATCGCACTGTAGGCTTGAAGCTCAAACAGTCCTGCGGTTTCTTAAACATCCAGGGCCAGAGAGAATACGATCGATCAACACTACTGTCTCCACAGATCCCCAGGCGTCCGACTTCGATTTGATATGGTATAGCTCTTGAAGCCAGGTCGCAACTTCCCTCCATCCCCAACTTTCAGGACATGCAATTGGGTACGGCCCACCGGCCGTTCTGAGGAGTTCACCTGGTTCAGTGTCCTCTGCTTGCATCTTCCTCCGTACTCCTCCTGCCCTCCAACTTGATACACATCCGCGAAACATTTATCGGACGATCCCCTAGTCCCCCTCTTCCCAGTCCCTGTCGCCGCATCCAACACATCCTCCCAGACACTCGGGCGCCCAGAGACTCTCCGACTCACCCGGATTCTGCCCTCGTCGTGCCGTCCGCTTTTCGAGGATGCAGAGCCAGACCCACCTAGTCTCGGAGTGACCGGACTCTCACGAGCTACAAACATATCCGCATCCGTGTCCTTGTGGTCCGGGTCCCGAGGCGCGATCCCATGGATTCGAAGAAGGAAACGGCATAAACACAAACTCTTGTTGTTCCGCGCGGATTTCCTGGATCCGCGCTAGGCTCTCCCGGGCGAGAGTCCACCGCAGATCCAAGAAATCCGCGTGGAGCGCCCAAAGTTCATGTTTTTGGCGCTTCATGTTCCTCTCAAGAAACAGGGCCGCCTCGCCGGCGGCAGCCGGCGGAAGGCCAGTGGAAGTGGAATGGCAGCATTTGTGGGTTCAGGGTTTCCAGAATTCGCCATATCTTTCTCCCCCCTCCTCCCTCCCTCCCCCTCCTCCTCATCCTCCTCCTCCTTCGCCTCCCTCCTCCTCCTCCTCCTCCTCCTCCTCCTCCTCCTTCTCCTCCTCCTCCTCCTCCCTCGACCCTCGACCCTCATTTTCAAGAGCTACGTGGAGATGATGGTGTTGGATTCCGTGCTGAGGGCTCTTGGGTCGGATGCAATGCGCCGAGTTCGCTTTCTGCCTGCGGTCCTGTTCTGCACGAAGTGGATGCCGCAAACGCCGCATGGGTCGCCAGCCCGACGCGCGCTTGTTAGCTGCGGGCGTCTTCGACATCCGTTGGCCCTTTCGTCAAGAGGCTGGCACGTGTGCGTCCGTCGTGTTCTGCTCAGGGTGATCTGCACAACAATCCGATCGTGCCCAAGGAATGTGGTGGCAGCGTGCAGGATGACGTTGTTCCTTGCTTCGCGGTTTGGGAGCTACTCTCTGCACGGTGAGTTCGGCGAGTTCGAGTCCGTCGGGCTGAGCTTCCGCCTTCGGTGTTGCTCTGCTCCTTCGATGTGGCCCTCATCCACTGGTGGCTCTTGCTGCGGGTTGCGGAGGTCGTCCTCTGCCAGTTCTCGGTGGTCTTCTGAGGACGGCGCAACGTTCCCTCTCACGCCTCCACGCTTGCGGTCGGTCCTTTGTCAGGTCAAAACTTCTCCCTCGGGCGGCTTTCGCCCCCCTTCTGCCCTACAGTCCATACGTTGAAACAGTGGCCGTTTTGGGCTCAGGAGGGGCTCGGGTTTTCAGACCGTTGATTAGATTTGTGTTGTGGAACCTGCTTGTGGCCTAGGCCCGCCGTGGCCAGAAAAGCCCCTTCGTTCTTCGCTTTGCGTTCCTTATGGCAGCACGACCACTGTAAGCCCCCGCCCCCCGCCCAGGATGCGGAGGGTGCGCTCCTCCCCCCGACCTCCCCTCGACCCCTCCCTCCTCCAACTCCCCCTCCCCCTCTCCCTCCCCCTGCCCCTTCCCCTCCCTCCTCCCCCTCCTCCTCCTCCTCCTCCTCCTCCTCCTCCTCCTCCTCTCCTCCTCCTCCTCCTCCTCCTCCTCCTCCTCCTCCTCCTCCTCCTCCTCCTCCTCCTCTTTCTCCTCCTCCTCCTCCTCCTCCTCCTCCCCTCGCCTCCTCCTCCTCCTCCTCCTCCTCCTCCTCCTCCTCCTCCCCCTCCCCCTCCTCCTCCTCCTCTCCTCCTCCTCCCTCCTCCTCTCTCCTCCTCCCCCTCCTCCTCCTCCTCCTCCTCCTCCTCCTCCTCCTCCTCCTCCTCCTCCTCCTCCTCCTCCTCCTCCTCCTCCTCCTCCTCCTCCTTCTCTCCCCTTGGCCGACTCTTGCCCCCCTCCTGCCATAGCAGCCCCCGCCCCCCCCAGGATGCGGAGGGCGCGCTCGCCCTGGGCGACGCGGGAGGCGTGCGGCGCCGCCTCGTCGGGGCCGCCGGCTGATGCGACGCCGCCCTCTCCCTGGGGGGGGTGGGGAGCGCGGCCCTGTGGCGCCGCCTTCTGCGGGCGCACGCATCCGCGGCGTCCGCGGATGCGTTGTGCCCACCCAGAGGTCCGACGCTCAGACGAGTCAGACGAGGAAAACACCCGTATCGCTTCCCTTCCCTCGTTTCCCCCCTGCTGGGCATCCTGGGAGGCCCCCGTCGCGACCGCTGAATTCGCCTGGAGATCCTGGTCAGGCCGCACCCCGAGAGAGGTCCCTGGAGTAGCAGCATCGGGAGCAACATGCGGCATCTGCGCATGCTTTGCGCCCGCCCAGAGGTCCGACGCTTCGCCATCGGGGAAGCGGGTCCTGAGGGAAAGTGGCCCTAAGGTTTTTCGCGGTCCTCGAACTCCACGGGCCCTGGGACTGTCCTATGAAGACGACTCAGGATGAAGAGCATGCCCTATGTGGCTGGCTGGGCATTTGCTGGGTTTGCCGTCGTTTCTCCCTCAAGTTCGTGAAGCTCGTCCCGGGAGAGGGCCCCAGGGTCCATGACCCGTTTCGCTCAGGACCCCTGGGTCCGTCCTGACCAGTTTGCCGAGTCGTGTCCAGCCGTGGCGCCGAGAAGCCTTCAGCAGGTCCAGAAGGCAGATAACACGCCAAGGAGGCCAGCCGCTGTCTGGACTGGCCCTTCTCCGAGCTGAAAGCGGTCCTGATCTCCGGTCTCGCCCTCCCCGTCGCGCGCGAAACGGCGCCGACCAACGCGAACGCCGCCGCTGCCGCCGCCGCCGCTGCCGCTGCCGCTGCTGCCGCCGCTGCCGCCGATGCCGCTGCCGCCGCGGCCGCGGCCGCTGCGCTGCCGATGGCCACGCTTGGCGTCAACGTAGTCGTCCAAACCTGGCGTTGCCCCCCCCCCTCCTCCGCCGCTCCGCCCGCAGGGCCTCCCTGTCGCGCGCGCGCGCGCCTCCCCGCCGCTCCGCCCGCAAGACCTGCCCGCGCGCGCGCGCCCGCAAGGCCTCCCCGACTTCCGGGGCCTCCTCGCGCACGACGACGACGACGACGACGAGGAGGAGGAGGAGGAGGAGGAGGAGGAGGAGGAGGAGGAGGAGGAGGAGGAGGAGGAGGAGGAGGAGGAGGAAGAGGAGGACGACGACGACCAAGACGACGACGAAGATGACGCCGCCGACGCCGCCGCCGCCGCTCCGCCCGCAAGACAGGCCTCCCCGTTGCGC